CCTAGGCCAGTTTCAAACTCTACCAACCACATACCGAGTCACAACAATAGACTTGGGGAAACCGGCAGCATAACGCAGCCAAGGTTACACGCTTGCAGAAGTAGGGAAGGAAACGAGATAGTATCCAACAAGCCCATGGATCCTCGTGGCCATGGGAACAGCGGCACGAAAACCAGCAGCACGGGCTATACAACATGCGGAATGAGATATCAGGATATGTGTATAAAGGCGACGATGTACATAGCGACTACCATTACGGCGGCTTCCCCGGCTGCCCCGCAGGACCTGCCGCCACTCGGCCTATAGGGCTGACAGATGCGTGTATGAATAATAATAATAATAATAATAATAATAATACACAACAATTCATTGCTGCTCCTTGAGGCCCAGGGCTGCCTGCATTTCGGGATTTCCATTGTCTAACCATTCGTTCAATTTCCGAGAAGACTCCGTAAAGGATACTCCAGCATTGGCTCTATCAGGTATAGTTGAATCCACTATGGATCAAACGCTTGTCAGCCCATTCATGATTTTAGGATGGATTGGTAAAGTGTCATCCATACCCCAAATCCTATTTTTGCGGCGTATATAAACTACATGTCTCCACTTGCCGACTATGACAGTCCACTTCCTTTTTGAAATTATCCAGACGGTCTTCCTTGGCCTCATCGGTTTCAAAAAGCTCAATCTGATATTTTGACCAAGACATCAGGCAATAAATCTCCAATGAACAGGTGAGACCGAAAAGAGAGGAATCCTTTAGGCTCTCTTCGACTCTACACGGCTCCTTAGCATATTTGAACCTTTCATGTGGATATTGCATGTCTGTTTTTTCCTCAGAGTGTCCCTCCTTAGGGCTGTTGTCCTCCAGGCCAGGGGTGTTTGTTGATAATATTAAAATGCCAGCGTTCTGAGCATGAACATAGATAGGGAGGAATTTACCTGCAGCTGGTTAGGATTCAGTCTTTGGGCCTCGCTTAAACTTACATACCTTCACTACTCAGGTCCGTCAGTGCCCCTATGAGCTTGACTTTATCGACGCCGCCATGGTGATTGTAGGTTTTTCTTAAGCGAGCGATCATTGTAATGACGGTTGAGCAAATGTCACTTTCCTGGATTGTGGTCGTCTTTCTGAGGGAGTTTTTCGGGGAGGAATATGTGGTTAAATAAGTACGAGATCACTTTTGGAGACATTCCTGGCGATTCAGTCCTCTGGGCTCGTCAAATAGAGAATTTATGATCCCCATAAGTATGAAAACCAGGCCAGGATGAATTATTTGACTAGAGAGGGCAAAATCAAAAAAGTAATGTTGGACAAGAGGGACACATCAAAACACACGTGCGGTCTGTAGTGGGAGATGAATCCAAGGTGTTATTAGACGCATCAGGGATAAGAGCTCAGTGCGTACTTTATACAAATTGTGCAATAAAAAATATCCCAGTTGGCTAGTACATCTGGGGCTTAGACAAAAAATTCCGGAACTCGCTTGTAGTATTCCTGTTCTCGCAACAATGAAGTTGATCGTTTGCGCAAAAGACCGAATATCTGGTTGATGTCGGATGGCAGCATTTAATGCTACTGGAGCACACTAGAAGATCCTGCTCCTTAGATATTATTATGTATGATAAAATTTACGACCTCAAATTCTGTCTGTTTAGTTATTGTCACTGGCTCAATTGGAGCAATGAACCAAACTTCTCCATTCAACTATCTAGACAGCGGCGACGGGAATATCAAAGAGTAAGGAAAAAAAGAAAGAAACTATTGACTTATTGACATTTCATCCTGAAAGAATGGATGTGTGTATGTATTCAGAGGTGGTAGGCTAATAGGGTTCAGGGAGGGACATCCAGGCTTACCTCTGGTCTCCCTTCCTCTCTCTCTCCCTTCCCTTTATCTTCCCTTTTATTGTACTCTTATTCTTCCTTTCTTGTTCGCGTTCCTGCTTTTTTGTTGCAAACCAATATGCTCAATTTGCTTTTTGACAGTCATGAAAACCCAAGCAGCCCCCCGCGCGGGGGGCTACCTGTATATAGATGATAGATGGTAGTTTAGCTAGGTGACAGGCAGTTCCGATCTGCCCATCGTATGTCCCGCATCGGGACCAGGGCTTTCCGCTTTCGAGGCTCCCAAGGATGCGTGGAAAGACCCGCCCCCGACGTAAAATAGATACACTGTGACATACACACATTACTACTAACTACTACTACTACTACTTATGGGTGGAAATGCGGCCGTAAACGGCCTCAAAAGTCGTCATTTTTGGCGTCATTTTCATAGTTCCTTACATTCTATGTAATGATCGCTTTCAAATGTCAACAGATTTTGCCAACTTTCATCTAATGCTATGACAAGCATGGGGTTAACTCCGGCATGATGGACTGTTCCTGGGAAAATCAATGATGTTCAAGTAGACGATTTGCATGTGGACTAGACCAGCGTTCTCCTGGTAGCATGTCTTCAATTGCTAGAGCTTTAGAGCTAGTTTCATAATGCAAAACTACCATATTCACTCTAGCATATCCTTAGGATCAACCATACCCCCCGACACAATCTGGTCCGGAATATGCGTCTGCACGACCCCATCCTCACCCAAATACTCAGGCCTGGAGTACAACTCAAGCCCCTCCCATTCCAAACTCTCCACACTATTCCAGAGATTAAATGCCGACGCAAATGGCACCCTCCACTTCCACCATATTGAGTCCTCTGCCTCATTCACATCTGCCTGGCCTGGGATGCACACCTCCTGCTCTGCGTCCTGTAACATGTCTTCCCACGCTGACTTCTCCATGTAATGATGCATGACCACATTCCCCTCTGCCACAGATCTCTGATCAAGAACTGCGATCCATTCAGCAACTAGACTATGGTTTCTCTGGCGTCTGAGATCAGTAGTGCGCTGTTTGGCATATTGTCGGAGGTCCGTGTCGGAGTATCCTACAAAGCCCGTTTGGAAATCCTCAATAGGTGGGTTAGAGTTTGGGTTGTCGAGAGTGGGCTGGTCAAGATTGCGAACTAGGCTGAAGACGTTGCATGCAAGAGATGGAGTGGTGCAGTCAGTCATTAGACGATTGATTACCTGTGATATGGTTTAGTTTGGCATGTCAATGGTGCAGATTGGGGGTCGCGGGGCGTACCGAGGCCGGCATTTGGGCCGTGCAGAAGAGAAGTATACCCGACATGGTTAACTGGCGATCTTGGCTAAGAGCTCTTATTTATATCTATTCATGAAACTTTTTGTCGCTGACTGATTGGGTAGAACACACTGCAAGGCGTTTAACAACAACGACAAGAGTGTCTGCAGCAAAAGCAGCCCGGGCGATTGGGGTTTCGATGTCGCCGACTATGCCTATGAGTATGATAGGACTAACTTTAACTATGTTGGGAAGTAAGAAATGAGAATTAATGGCGCTGGAATAATATATAGAGACTTCTTTTATTTGGCGTTTAAATTGGCGTTCAATTGGAAATGAGTTATGTTCCTTTACTTGAGCATCCTTTAGGCGTCACGTCCTGTCTTCAATGTCAGCCTGCTCCGCCCCACTACTGAAAACCCTGTCCCAGACCGAAGACGAGAACCGCCACCACCTGTTGAGGCCAAAGGACTTGAAGAATGGCAAGTTGAAGACATCTTAGACACCCACTAGGAAAGGAGGGGTCGTGGAGGGCCTCACCTGAAGTATACTGTCGAATGGATGGGTTATGACTTATGATGATCCTACCAAAGAACCGGCAGCGTATTTGGAACACGCCCAAGAGATATTGCAAACTATCGCCGCCGCTGCCCCCATAAGCCTGGACCTGGTCTCGATGGAGCTCGGCCTTGAGGAGGGGAGTACTGTCACAGTGCCAGTCTGATGTAAGTCAGGATATATTAATAGTCGGCCCAATTAGCGCAGCTGACAGAGTCCTCATATAGGACACCATAGCCATACGCTTTAGATGGCTAAGCACTCATTCTATCATAACGGTATTTATAGCTATCAATATCACCCTCTTTTGTGTAATTCAAATTCCTCGCCTATAGCCTCGTGCAGTCCGGATAACTAATTGACTCCCCGATTCCCCGATCCCTGAGCTACGCGCTCTCTTCAGCTGCTACTTGGTGAGCATGCGCTTCGTTTACAATCTTCCATGCGCATGATTTCACCAATATAATTGCTGAGATCCTTCGGCTCTTGAATAGTAACAGCGGCGCAGAGCGATCATAACTGTAAATGGGAGTATGCTAGCGTGCAGCTGAGCTGCATTTATGCCCAATGCCCGTCAGCTTGTCCGCCGCGAGGCTGAATTAGAATCCCCTCATTCCCTTTTCACCAGCTCTTACAGTTCGTACTTTTTAAAAAAAAAAGAAAGAAAGAATTTATTGGCGGGTATCTCGCTCCTCGCCAAATACTATGCAATTGATTTCTTTTCGAGCACGTCGAAGCTACTAAATCTTGACCAAAACACTTCTGGGTTCTGATTGAGCCTGCCCTACCAAATTCGATCAAACCTCTGATTTCGAATCCTTACCGAAAGCAATCTGTCTATTGTCTTGCATGGGCCTGTAACCTCCAGAACGATCCAAAAATGTCAGGAAGCCACGGAGAAATTGGTGACGACAAAGAGCCCATATTCAGCAAGACAAGTGATAGCAGTGCAGACCGCAAGGCTTCTTTCAAAAAGCTGAAGCACAGTAATTACACTGTGGGATGGGTCTGTGCACTGCCAAAGGAGCAGACTGCAGCAACAGCAATGCTAGATGAGCCACATCAAGATCTACTGAAACCACCAACTGATCCCAACACATACACTTTGGGCTCCATTGGAGGGCACAACATTGTCATAGCCTGCCTACCGAAAGGCAAGTATGGCAATAACTCAGCAGCGACGGTCGCGACCTCAATGCTTAACACTTTTCCATCCATTAAAGCGAGTCTTATGGTTGGTATCGGCGGCGGTATCCCACCCAAGGTTAGGCTTGGAGATGTTGTGGTTAGTGTGCCTGTTGATGAATTTTCTGGAGTGGTCCAGTGGGATATGGGCAAGGCAGAAGCAGGTGGCAACTTCAAACGGACTGGTGCAATGAATAACCCCCCTGCCGCACTGCTGACGGTATTGACGAAACTGGAGACCAAGCATGACATGCATGGCTCCAGAATTCATCATTATCTTCTTGAATTGGGAAGGAGATATCCAAATCTGGTGCGAAAATATACATGGTCTGATTCCCTCAAGGACCCACTATCCACTCCAGAGAGAGATTCCACCTCCCTCAGAGCAGATGGCAAGCTATATTTTTTATGTTCTGGGAGAGTATCTTGGCCCTTCTTCAGTGCCTCTTAGGCTGGTGGGCGTTTGCTCCTATGGATAGTGAGATGGAGTTGAATAGAACTCCAAGGAAGCCTGGAGACTCATGCGTGCATTATGGTCTAATCGCATCTGGTGACCAAGTGATCAAGGACGCCAAGTTCCGTGACAGTCTCAACAAGAGTCTCAGTGGGAAAGTGTTGTGTGTTGAAATGGAGGCAGCAGGGCTCATGAATTCCTTCCCTTGCATTGTTATCCGGGGAATCTGTGATTATGCCGACTCGCAGAAGAACAAAGAATGGCAGGAATACGCTGCTGCTGTAGCTGCAGCATATGTCAAGGAACTTCTTGAATACGTACAGCCAGGTGATGTTGATGGACAGCTCCCAGTGAAGGACATTCTAGACAAGCGTTAGTTATTCCCGAGACCCACCATCATGTTCATAACAATATCCTAACCAATCTATAGTTCATGATAAAATGTCAACTACTGAGGCCAGTGTAAAAATAATGGGGTCCAAGCTAGACAGAAAAGAAGACCTTGAGATCCTCAATTGGGTCACATCAATTGACTACGGTCCTCAACAAAGTGACTTCTTGAAAAGACAGCAACCAGGAACTGGCCAATGGTTCTTAAACTCTAACAAGTACAAGTCTTGGCTAAGTCTAAGCAAGCAGACATTATTCTGTCCAGGCATTCCTGGGGCAGGAAAAACAATCATGGCTGCAACCGTCATTGACAATCTCACTAAACAATTCTAAGACCACAAAACTGTTGGAATTGGGTACATTTACTGCAACTTCCGCCGGCAGGATGAGCAAAAGATTGAAGACTTACTCTTGAGTCTATTAAAGCAGCTGAGTCAGGACTGGCCTTCCCTCCCAGATGCTGTAAGCAATCTTTATCACAAACATCAAAGGACACGACCATCATATGATGACATCTCAAAGGCTCTCCTGTCCGTGGTGGCTTTGTATTCAAGAGTCTTTATTATTGTTGATGCGCTTGATGAATGCCAGGCATCTAATGGTTGCCGATCGAGATTCCTATCAGAGATCTTTTACCTTCAAGCCGAGACTGGGGTAAATCTCTTTGCAACCTCACGGCCAGATGCTCATATTATGAAGCAATTTAAGGATTGTATCTCTTGTGAAATTAGTGCTACCGCTAAGGATCGCATTACTGTGCAATCTATAGACATGACTGAAAAGATCCATCATCCATCAAAGGGCATAATATGACCATGATTAGAGTAAGGATAATCATTGAATTTTGAGCTCAACACTTTTAAATAACTGATAATCTCAAATAAGAATCATTGGCAACATTAACAAATACTGAGCTGGTGGTAGCCTCCTAATCCGATAAGTTGAACTGCGTACTATATTCTAACCATGGTTGGATTAAGTATTGTAATAGTATGTAATGGGAAATTCGGGAATATGAACCACTCCCATTTCCCACATTTCCCAACCCGACCCATCCCTATGGGAGTAAACGGGAACTGCGGGAATTCCCAATTACTCCCTTTCCCACTGCGGGAATTGGGGATTGGTCCCAATTCCCGACCCTATGCGGGATGGGAAGGGTTCGGGAACGGGAATTGCGGGTTGGGAATGACACTCTAGGCCTCATGTGGTCAACATGCTACTTGACAAGGATGCAGACCTGGAGTCTAAGGATGAATATGGTCGAACACCACTGTCCTGGGCAGTGTGATGGCTCAACACCTCAACGCCGCTTTGTTGATTGATATCGACAAACGCCCTTATCTGGGCAAGCAAACAGAGAGAGCACTAGCGCGGCGACACCATTCAGATAAAACCCCTTTCTTCCTGTAGATAGATTCCCTTTCTTCTTTTTTCTCCAGATTCGATATTCTCGTCGATGGCTACAATAGTCTAGATAGGAACATCATCCGTTATTATCTTCTATTCCGAGCCCGTGACATAATCATCCATCTATCTAATTTTCTAACTCGTATTCAAAGCAAGGGCTTGGTAATAGTGGTGAATTTAAATATTTTAATATCGCCAACAGCATTTTTCGAGAACTTTTCAACTACCAGATTATATTTTTTTCACGGGCTCGTCTGGTAGATAATAACGGATGATGTTCCTATCTAAACTAGGTAGCCAAAAGACGAGAATATCGAATCTAGGGAGGAAGAAGAAGAAGAAGAAGAAGAAGAAGAAGAATCTATCTACAGGATAAAGAGGAACATATGAGTTGTGTGGCAGGGCTAGGGCATCGTTTGTCTTGATTGCCCGGATGGCAGCGTTTGTTCCGTTGGTGGTGTTTGCCAATATTGGCCGTGCTGTTGGCCGTCGAAATGACATTGCTAAATCAAAGGATCAGTTTGGTGAGGTAAGATTATGGGCTTGACTTCGCACATTGTACCTGGCCCCCTTGTCAGCGGGGAGTGATCCTAGCCTGACCGATCAGGGTATGCTTCTAAATCACTCTGGGATCACTCCAGGATCGCTCCGGCGCGGTTCCCTGATCGGTCTAGATCTGCTTCTGGCTGTCCAGGGAGCAAAAAGCAGCGAGGGCTCGGGCTGAAAACGGAAAGGGAAAGCCCCCTCAACTACTGTAGATGTTTTCTACGGAAAACTGGGAACCTGCCCTTTCTGTTTTCGGTCCGAATTCTTGCCGCTTTTGGCTCCCTGGGCAGTCCAGAACGATTCGGGAGAATGCCCTAATCGCTCCGGCTAGGATCATTGCACCTCGACAAGGGACAACTGTGGCCCACTTTACAAGTAATGAATACTGCCGCCTATCACTGCGCTGTGTGACGGCTCAACGCCTCAACGCCGCCTCAGTGGAATCTGGAAATTTGCTTCTTTGTACAGCTACACTTGTACAAACAATAATATATTTAAAAAAAAAAAAAAAAAAAAAAAAATGAAAAAATGAAATGAAATAAACCCAGATTGTCGCCCACCAAATGACTTCATTATAGTCTACAGAGTACTGATTCCCTGCGCCTGTATTTTCTAGCCTGAGTGCTCACATAATCGAGCATATCAGATTTATCCTCTTCCATATTGTCAATGGTACTTGCAGGGTTAGATGGCGGCTGGTAATACTCTTTACAGAGGTTCCATGTTGCTTGTAATCTTCCTGCAAGCGTTGCAAAGCATGGCAATCCCGTTTTCCCTTGCGAGATAATTGAACCCACTTGATGAATTCGTGGAACTTTGGAGCAGCAATGGCCGGGACATGGTCCAAACCTCCTGGGCAGGAACGCGAGTGAACAAGCGCTGACAATTGAGCCATGTGCTGACCCCACTCGAGCGAGTCGGGTGAAGGGTCCTGTGGGAGGACGTGCATCTCCGACTCTACCAGGCGCGAAAACGTTGGTAGTAGGCAAGTCGCAAACTCGGCGGGACTATCCTCCTCTCGGCCCGCGACTCCCGGCAGTGCGGATAGTGGAACATATGGGGACTCTGATAAATTTTGCACCGAAGGCGAGAGCAATTCAGGATATGATGTTGGGGGTGGAAGCGGCGCGAGGCCAGTGAGTTCTGTGGAATAGAGAATGATGAACATGCGTGGGATGAAGACAGGTTGAGAGTTTGAATCGAGCGATTGGGCTGGTGGGACTTCGTAGATGGGCGCACCGTGGCGGAGATCGCGTCGATCGCGATATTGGTGGTTCGAAGAGCTCTGGCGCCAGCTCGCGAAGGTTGTAGGGGACAGCGTGTCATGATCGTCTGCTATGGAGGGGATAAGGCCATGTGATGTGAGTATGGTAAAGGCATGCTCTTGATCATTGTCATTCACAAGAAGCTCAATGTCCTACAGCCATGGATACCATTAGCCTCTGATGGAAATCAATCAAGGTAAACAAGACAAACCAGGGGGCATAGGTCTCCGCCATACTCTGCCGCTGCACAAAGCCCCCAGAGCGCTGCCGGTATTCCAGCTTGGAAGAGAGTGCTGGCTATGAGTGCTGCTGATTCAGTGCTGGGTTCTATGATGTCACCGAGTCCATTCGGGAATGAAGGCATACTGTATGGCGGAGAAGATGTATAGGGGAAGGTTGGGGGAATAGAATACAAGTATGTAGTAGAGTGTGTAGTAGAGTATGTAGTAGAGTATGTAGTAGGAATTCCTCCGCCGCCTATCCTGACGTAATCAACTGTTAGTTAACTAGTTAGTTACTTCTTTCTTCCTTCTGGGTTGTTTGCTGTGGAAAGTGCATCAGCTGCTGTTTCATTGGACTACTTGTAGGCTGTCAGCATTACTGGTGCAGATGTGTTTTAGGCATGAACCCCTCAACCCCTCCCATGTAACCAGGACGAACTTCCCACCATCACTGGGCTTGTATCCTGTACCAGTAAGTCTGGAGGTGGAATCAAAAGAAACCCACTTGTTGACTGATGAATCGAATCTATACCATGGATGGAAGATTGGAGTCGCGTCAGCCTCGCATGCTGGCAAAGGAACGTCGTACCACCATCGGAGAGTCTGGTTTCGCAGTCGAGAAAAAATGCTCATCTTTTTTCCGAATGTCTTGCAATCCGTTTGAAATCGGAGACCAGAGGAATCCCTCGATACTGGCGAGGGTTAGGGGGGATAAGGACGACCACCTTGTTACATGATGCGGAATGATAGTCGGTCCGAGACTACAAATGATGAGAATCTTGATGAAGATCGGATGAATGTCGGACCGATCTAGTGAGCTCCGGAGAATTTTTATCGTACGGAGATGGGACGCTCTTAGTTAGTCCTAGCAAGCACTCTACAGCAGACTCAATACTACGTACATTCCCTACTGCGCGATACTGTCTCTACGGCCCACGGCTGTCATATGGGCCTCGTACGGTAATCCGGAGAATCGGCACCGCTGCCCCGAAGCTTCCCCGTTTCACAAATGATGAGAATCTGATGAAGATCGGATGAATATCGGACCGATCTAGTGAGCTCCGGAGAAGTTTTATCGTACGGCGATGGAACGCTCTTAGTTAGTTCTAGAAAGCACTCTACAGCAGATTCAATACTATGTACCTGTAGATAGCCTGACCTGTAGCTTGCTCTGTTCGTCAATTCCTAATATATATCCTGCCTGTCTGTATCCCTGACCCTGCACCCTGACAAGAGGGACTTGACAGTACCCAACAGGGTATCAGAACAGTGCAGTCTTTTATGTGACAGCCATTTAGTTACACCATGTTGTTAGTACCCGGCGGGTCATGTGCTCTTCCGCCCTCGCCTAGCGCCCGTAGTAGCCTCATATAGCAGGCCGACTTGCCCTCCTGTCAGTTTTGGGAAAGGGCCTAGAGCGCCTCATAGCCCGCCAAATGGCATGAATAGCTATCAAGCATAAGGTCCTCCATCCACAACAGTTTGGCGCCCTCCCACTCTGTTCAGCCACAGACCTAACTGCGGCACTGGTTCATTATGTTAAGGAAGCATGGGCCCGGGGGCTGAAGGCCTCCATGCTCACACTGGATGTGCAAGGCGCCTTTGATGCTGTCCTACCAGGGCGACTGATTGGACGGCTCCGAGAGCAGGGCTGACCTACCAATGTACTGTACTCCAATGGGTGGCTAGCTTCACCCAGGGTCGAACAACCAGCCTGCGTCTAGGAACCCACATCAGCAAAACCTATGATATTCCAGCAGGGTTACCACGAGGATCCCCGATTTCCCCGATCCTTTTTCATGCTTTTCATCAAACCCATCTTCAAACAGGGCCTGAACCGCATCCGCCGCGGCCGCTTTGGATATGCAGATGACATCTGCCAGCTGGAGGCAATTTTCTCGCACCATGGTTGCTATAAGGAGCCGGTTGAACACCGTGCGTATTCAAGAAAACCTGAGGGGTCCTCGGTCCCGCTGGAATAGAGATGCCGTTGATAGATGGTTGGACAAACTATTTGAGGAAATCGATGTCAATGGAATTATCAAACCCACTGATGAGGACCAGCATATTGTGGGCATGGTAAACCAGCCCTTGATTGCTTACACGGCACCTGCTAATTAAATCAGCACGCTTTACTACCAGCTTATTTTACCCGGAGGACTCGTGGAAACGCAGAATGAATAACGATTGCGTTGATTGATGTACCGGAAGTTAATTGAAACAAGCCAGTTGACTCAATAAGAACCAAAGTGTGTGTTCCAAATCCAACCCATGTTGTCCACCGCCGTTGGCAGATTGTCGTCCTGGGATGTGGTTGTCACGGGGCATGGACGCTCGCTAGTTGTATAGCATGTTTGATTACTTTGGTCTGTTTGGAGCAGGGCATGAGGCCCTCGCACACACTAGATAGCTTGTCGCTGACAGGGTCACAGGACCTGCCTTTTTTCCTTTCTTTCCTCATGTTAGAATTTCGTCAGATAGTCTACCAATAGATTCCTATTGCTCAAGACTGTCACAGTGGTGAAGGTCTATGATAATAGGCTTGGATGCATTTGGACAGGCGAGAAGTAGAGTAGTATAGTAGTGATTTACTTGCACGTACTGAGTATTCTCTACCAGAGTCTGGAGTAGAATGCGAAGGTATTCCAAATAATCACGCAAGGCTGCATTCGGATTTCCCGGGATCTTCTCACATGGTACATAACAGTGCTCTATCTCGAGTAATATGTGCACACCACCGCTCTAGTCCGAGTGTAATATCCCGGCCGATAGCCTTGCGCACAACACGGTTGCACATGCATAACAGACAAAATATAGAAAACAAAAATCAACCGCTAAATGGGTATCGATTCATCCGCACCGCATCCCACTCCGACATGCGCCCAACCCGCACATATCGACATCCCAGCATCTGCATCCGTTCTCCCGGCAAAATGTTTCGCCCGTCAAACACAAACTTCGGACTCTGCATCCCGTTCACGATATGTTCCCAATCCACCGGTTCTCTGGTCGCCGGTGGTACCATGAATAGGTTTTCCTCGCTGTCTGGCGTCAGGCATCGCGATGTTGGGGGTTGTTGTGCTGTCCAATCCTGTTCATCGTCTGTCAGAGTCGATTGTGTGGAGCTTCGCTTCCGTGTTTCGGTCATTCGGAATTCGTCCCATTCGGTCACTATTGCTACCGCATCGGCGTTGTCGCATGCATCGTATGCTGTTTTGCAGATGTGAATCTGTGCTAGTTCCCTGTCCGACAACGGCGCCAGGTCGGCCAGGATGGTCGTCGATGGTACCATAGGGTCGTATATGGATATCCGAGCGCCCTCAGCCAGCAATCCCCTTACCACAGGGATAGCCGGCGACTGTTTCGTATCGGAAGTGTTTTTCTTGAATGCGAATCCCATAATTGCAATCGACTTCCCCCTCACACTACCATGCATAGACGAGAGAATCCGCCGCAGGAACCGGGTCTTCTGTTCGTTGTTCATCTCAACCACCGACGCCCAATAGTTCGCCACCGTGTCCAGCCCCAGGGTGCGCGCAATGTAAACCAGATCCAGCACGTCTTTTTCAAAACAGCCTCCTCCCCAACCTAGACTGCTCTTCAGCATGTTAGGTCCAAGCCGCGGGTCCAGCCCGCATGCCATGGAGAGTGAGTCGATATCGCCGCCGACAGCCTCGCAGATCGCGCTGAGAGAGTTGATGCTGCTTAGTCGTTGGGCGAGCATTGCGTTGGCTGCTAGCTTAGATAATTCCGATGACCAGCAGTCCATCGTCTTGATTCGGTCCCGAGGTACCCATGCCTCGTAGATGGCGGATAGCGCTGCGGCTGCTTTTTGTCCGGATGGGGTTTGTTGACAGCCGATAAGCACCCGGGAGGGGTGTAATAAGTCTGTGATGGTTGTGCCTTCGGATAGAAACTCGGGATTGGAGAGGACTTCGAATCGGACCTGTTGTGATGATCCGGATTCCAGCTGGTTTCGTTAGCTTCGTCTCTGTTTAGATGGATGCATGGGAACGCACCAAGTCGCGAATTAATTCAGCCGTCCCGCATGGTACGGTCGACTTTTCGACCACAATCTTATCGCTCGTTGCTACTCGCGCAATCGTCCGCACGGCTGCTTGGATGTTCGCCAGATCCGGCGCGAGACCTTTTCCGATGCCAAACGACTTGGTTGGCGTATCGATACACAGTACGATAATGTCAGCGTCGCTTATGGCTTGTTCGATTTCTGTCGAAAATCGTAGGTTTGACAAGTCCTCTCCAGACTCGGGATGTGCGATCTGTGTCGGTCGTCGGCGGATGCTGGATAAGACATCCTCCAAGCCGGGCTCGTACATGGGAAGACTGTCAGAATTCCATGCATCGATACGTCGCTGGTCCTTGTCCACGATCGTGACCAGAGTATCGGGACATTGATACGCGATCATGGCACCGAATGGGCCACCTATATCGTCAACATCATCATCTCATAAGGCAGCCATGGCGTAACTCACCCACAAATCCAGCGCCGATACAAACCACATGCCGAGTCATAATGTTAGCCATACTGTGAGCCACGGAAAAACACAAAATTGGGAAATGTCTGCAACATCGAAAGAGCAGAACCACCCGGCTATAAATGCATGTCCCACTCGCCTGTCTCCGCCTGCATGCCGCCATGTCCACCTCATCATTCAGCCCAAAGTTTATCGCAAAGCACGCGGATTTTTACCATGATTGGACCTTGGCCCTCGGTGTGGAGGCATTCAGCCGCTCAGCTGTGATGATCGTAGCCAGCCGGGCACGAGGTACAAAAGCAAGTAAAATGCAACTATGCATCATAGCACGCCTTAGTGCTATTTTCCGAGACTCCTGATTCAACCACAGAAATTGCGATCCCGCGTCCAGCCTATTAAGTATCCCACCTAGCGCTCTTTCAGCTGTTGATGGCTGGCTGAATGGTGCAATTACTTTGCGTCAGTCCCAATGCGTGCGGACATCTCCGGTTAGTTATCGGACAGTCATAGCGTCACCGAGCCTTATCTTTGTGTATTTCTGACCGTGAAATCTCTGTTCATGGCCAGCTGAACTTCCGATGTATCTGTACGGAGTCTCCGTTGGGGTGCTCGAGTCAGTTGCAAGCCACCTGTAAAGGAAAGGATGCATCGAGCTAATGCATGGCAATATATCTGTTTGTATTGTGTGCATTCCATTTATTGCGAGAATCCCCGATGTAACCAGACGCACATTTTGTTGCCTGAGGCAGAATTTCTGGCCCCCTACGGAGAAACCATTCCCCGCACCTGTCCGATATATCTTTCACTGCTAAGAACCGCCTGTAGGGATCACTGCTGCGACATGTCTATTATGGAGTCTAAAACACTTCGTATTGCATATAAACACCCTAGCCTCCCCTCCCGAATTGCCTCGCAAGCACTACCGCACACCATGCCCACAGACGAACCCCCCCCCCCCCTCCTGGAGGAGCTACTAACCAGCGCCAAAACCGGCAACCTCCCAGAGTTACAAAACCAACTGTCTCATGTAGAGACAGAACCTGATCTACCTGTCACCTGAACAGATCATCTCAAGCAGAAGTCCGCTATAAGGTCCCAACGGGGAACCCGCGCGTGTGGGCCCGACTCACTTCATCCACCACCGGCTTCTGACTCGCGCGGCGCGTTGGGACCAGGTAGCCATTGTCCGATACTTCCTAGTTGGATGAAGAAGGCTTCCCTATCAATCAGCGCGAATTCGAATATGACGCGGAACTATTCGATATTCGGAGCTCACGGGGCTTAGGAACGGCACTGCACTGTGCAGTGGCTTCTGATGCCCTCGAGTGTGTTCGTTTTCTCCTGGAGCGAGGAATTGATACCAGTTTACGAGACACCACCAGTGGTCGCACCGCTAGGGAAAGGGGATTGGCACCAAAGTGCAAGGAAGCTGTAGCGATTCTTGATGGTTGGGAAGCAAAGAAATCATAAAATTATGAATAACTACACCCATTCACCCAGCTTTCTTCGTTCACTCCCCCCCAAGCCCTAACTTTAGCTACAGTTTCAGTTCCAAGTTCGGAAAGGTCAAGGGCGCTCATTCTCGGGGAAGTACGTCTTTATCCCGTCGCTATGAGGGCATTTGAACCCATAGAAATGACTTGAAACAAGTCCTTCGCGCTTGGTTGTATCGGCTACCATTGGGTTCCCGTTAGTTTCCACTTTCGGAAATCTGTTGCTACACCGAGCGCGGAACCTGAAAGCCGCGATAAACACTTGCCTTGGGGGGGGGTTATTCACGAGTCTATATAGCTCGTCACGATCAATTCAAATTATATCACCCATTGACCACCCTATTCTCATCCGCTTGAAATACCACCTTCAACATGTCCATTGCCACCCACCCGCTCCAGATAGACCTGGCAGCATACCTCTTCATGCGCCTCCACCAACTCGGCATCCGAAGCATCCACGGCGTCCCCGGAGACTTCAACCTCGTCGCCCTCGACTACATCGCCCCCGCCGGCCTAACCTGGGTCGGCAACGCCAACGAGCTCAATGCCGGCTACTCCGCAGACGGCTACGCGCGCATTAAGGGAATCTCAGCGTTAATCATTGCTTTTGGCGTGGGCGAACTGTCAGCCCTCAATGCGATTGGCGGGGCATTTGCTGAGAGGGCGGCTGTCGTGCATATCGTTGGGGTGCCGAGTATGGCGTCGCAGAGGGCAGGGTTGACTATGCATCATTCGTTTGGGGATGGGGAGTTTGGGAGGTATAGGAGGGTTTATAAGGGGTTTAGTTGTGCGCAGGTAAATCTCACGGATGCTAGCACCGCGGCTGAGATGGTGGATTGGGTGCTACGGGAGTGTTTGGTGCAGAGTCGGCCGGTTTATATTGAGTTGCCGACGGATTTTGTTCAGGCGAAGGTTTCTGCGGAAAGACTGGGTCAGGATATTCGACTTTCTCTCCCAGTGCCTGAGAATGATGAGGTGATCGAGAATGCAGCCATCGAGAACCTACTTCGGCGCTTATACGCTGCCAAACAGCCGCTGATCATCGTGGATGGATTCGCGCCTCGATACGGAATCAGCGAGGAGACAGACGAACTAGTTTGCATAACCGGACTCCCGACCTCAACGACGCCCTTCGGAAAAGGCATTGTGAACGAAACATACCCCAACTTCCACGGCGACTACGCAGGCGCCGCAGGGAAACAAGTTTACATGCCATGGGTGAACTTATGCGATCTAATCGTCCGAATCGCCCCCCTCAACGCCGACACTTAACACGTACGGCTACACAACCCTAACCAACCGCAACGTAACCGTCGAGATCGACTACCACGTCTAGACCCGTACCCGGATCTGGGGAACATGCTGCAAATCCGAGATGAACTGCCCCCTCCGCACACAGACGCACCTATCGACCAGGATACCTTCTGGCTGCGCGTATCGCACTTTTTCCGTCCAGGCGACATCGTCATGACAGAGACCGGGACCCCGTCATCCGGAGGCAGGAAATTCGTCCTCCCGCCACAAACCACCATGATCAACTCCGCCATCTGGCTCTCCATCGGCTACATGCTCGGCACGTGCACGGGGGCCGCAATAGCACAAGCAGAGCAAATCGCTTCCGGTACGCGCCCCCCATCCAGCCGTACAATCCTCTTCGAAGGAGACGGCAGTTTCCAAATGTCTGCACAATCAGTGAGCGATATGATCCGCAACCGAGTCGACGTTGTCACCTTCCTCATCAACAACGACGGATACACGATCGAGCGGTATCTCCACGGTATGAAAGCAAAGCATAACTGGGTCCAGCCGTGGAGGTATCTCGAGTCGCCGTGGTATTTTGGGGCTCCGCGGGATGATCCGAGTTATCCGGTGTTTACTAGACAGGTGACGACGTGGGGTGAGCTTGGGGAGGTTTGGGGGGGTAGGCAACTAAGGGCTGGGAAGGGGTTTAATATGGTTGAGGTTGTTATGGATATTGAGGATGCGCCGTCGTCGTTGAAGAATTTGGTTCTTATGGTGCAGAAGCGGAATGCGGGGGGGGCCGGAGGGGAGGAGGGCTGAGAAGGAGGTGGAGGAGAGGGTTCAGGCTACTGCATAGACTTGTTTTTAAAAGAGCGAAGCTCAAGATATAGAGATGGTGCACATAACATAGAGAAATAAATGTACAAAAGCTATCTTCATTTCCCCCTCCTCTTCCTCCGACAATCACTCTCCCCAGGAACCCAATGATGAAAGTAAATCTGCTGCGGCCATTGCTCTTGGCCCTGTCCATCACTGTTACCATGACCATATCCATTCCCAACAGCCCCAATCCCAGAATAAAACGCCGGAGCCACCCAAGCACACGCCCGCCGTTTATAAGTTCGACGGAGAAAACTATCGTCCAGTGGTCTTGTTGTATGTCCGTGTTGGGGGTGCTGGTGTGAATCTGCGTGTACTGGAAAATATATCAGTGAGTGTTTGAGGGTATGGTGGAAAAGGTCACCACATACAGGGCTCCATTTGTTCCCGCGCTGTGGCTAGGATGATTGGGATTTGGTGATAGGGTATCCCTCGACGAAGGGCATCCTGTAGGATGGCATGCTCGTGGTGCCGTTGGGTGAGTTTAGCTTGTTCGTATGAAGTAGTCTGTTCTGCGCGTGTTGTGGACATTTCTGTATTGCTTCTGCTTTGCAGAATCCATCGTCTATATTAGGCACATCGGATGTATATATATCCCGAGGAAGTCTAGAAGCAGCTCAACCATGGTTGAAACTTGAGGATACTGTTTCAGGATGTTTCATGTCACTTAAAACCCGACTACTATCTACGTCTCAGAAAAGGCTCAACTATCCATCCCATAAATCATCTACTGTACATGAATCATATCGAGATGTCCGTGTCCCAGAATGAAGAAAAGGGAATCAAACAACCAAAAACGCAACAAATATAGAAGAAAATAAAGTACAGCAAAACGTGTGTCGGGTCTGAATTGCAGATATGTACATATTGAAATTGAAAAGAAAACTACCGAGGATGTTGATGTTGTGGCGTTAATGGCCCAAGTGGCCCCGCGTTCGATCCCTGACTATACACCCGATGATGGCGACTACCCCCAGGTGGACCTGGCGTGGCTTCACTCATTCCCGGGTGACGCGCATGAAGTGGGTGCACCGGCCCGACAGCCGGGGAGGGTCCACTCGGCGCATAGCTCATACCCCCACTTGGGTTGGGCTGTAGAACCGCTGGGGGCGTGTACGAACGCCCCATAGACAACGACGGAGGCTGCCCAGCAGCCGAACGAGACGTCGTAGCCTGTGGTGGTGGGGTGCTATGGCCGTATTGACTGCCTGCCAAGCCAAGAGCAGATCGATGGGCTTGTTGCTGGTGTGCGCCATTGACCATGGTCTGCACATGCTGCTGGTACGTCTGGTGACCACCTGGTTGAGATAATGTTGGAGTCGTTACTGTAGATCCGTAAGGTGTTGCTGATGGTTGCCGCATGTTAAGTAGACTAGCGGACGACTGGATCGGTGTTGGCGGTCCTTGTCGGGAGCTGTATGTCATGCCACTATTGCGCGGCGGTGGCGACCCCATGGACTGGCGATAGACAGGTTGAGACGGCAACTCTCGCGAGGAAGGTATCGACGGCGACTGCGCATACACAGAGGTCTGGTACGTAGGACGTTGACCCGGAGCTGGCGAAGGAACCGGCGAAGGTGCAGTCAGGTTCGTTAGAGACGGAGCTGTCTGAGATTGCCCTGATGCGTATGGCGAATATGGCGGTTGAGGGGCCATGGACGCCGGTCGGCTGTTCATTGACTGCGGCGGAGGCGCCTGCTGTTGCTGCCCTCGAGGATCAAACCGTGCCATCCAATCGTTGTTGGATGGTGTAGCAGAGCCCGCTGAAACAGACTGATAAGGCTGATGGTAGTCAAAATACGAGCGCGACGATGACAGACTCGGGGCTTGTTGGGCAAAGGTCGGTGTCTTCTGCTCTTCTTGACGCGACTGGGGTCCTGGCTGCGACAACGGCGGCATGGCTGCATATACTGGGCGTGAAGGAGATACAGCCCTTGAAGGAGCCGCAGAAGCCTGCCGTTTCCGTGGCGGAGGCTCTTCCGGCTCGTCGTTCAAGATACTCATAATATTCGACCGCTTCGCTGGTACCTGCTTGGGAGGGCCTTCTGACGGTTCGGGAAGTGCCGAACTAGGACGAGAAAGCTCCTTTGGCGGCGACAGCACTGGCGCAGGCTGAGACATACTGGCCGGTTGGCTGGGCAAAGGATACAACGGTCTTTGGCTGACTGAATCGCGTCGAATTGGAGAAATGTCGTGATCCAGTCTCTGAAGTTGTGGTGGTACTGGCGATCCAGGCGCCTTTCCAAGACTGGGATGGCCAGAGTGAGACACGAGCGGCGGCGGCTGTGACTGCATGAACGACGGCTGAGGCGGTGGTGGGGCGGTACCTTGGGGAGCAAGCAACGGCGAGCCATGAACGTCGCGATAGCCCGACGGATGCAAGGATTCCATTCGCGCCATCTCGGGCATTGACAAGGGTGTCTGGCGTGCCGAAACGTGTGCATCCTGGAACCGAGGCACGGTCTGAGGTAACACAGTCGCCGGCGGTTCTCGCCTGTCTTCGGTAAACAGACCCATCTTGGGGCCTGGCAAGCGTGACATGCCGCTAGGAGCACGAGCCGTTCGCGGGTCTTCGTTGAGAAGCGCGGTGGTCGTCATCGGAGCAGCGCTAGCTTGGGCAAGGGGCGCGAACCTTGGCATATTCCGCTCCTTTTCAGAGGGCGTTCGCGTATGCAGCGGAACAGCTTGAGAAGACAATCCAACAGGCTTCTTGTCAGGCTCGAGAGGATCGGTGTGTGGAGCTAGAGGTCGAGGCACGATCGAGGATGGAGTTGCTTCGTAGCGTCGTTTGGTAGGACCACTGGGGGTAGGCAACGGTCCTGTGGGCTCACCACGCGCCTTCTTATGCTCCGCTTCGCCAGCAATGTCCTCAAATTCCTTGTGGCCCCCGTCAACTCGGCGCTGAAAGTAGTTTTTGACCTATAAAGGAGTCAGCTGTCTTGTGAAATCAACATCAAGGCGAAAGACCTACCATGACAGTCGTTTTCGTCTTCATAAAGCTTGAGATGCCCTCCCAATCTTTGCCAAAATGCGCCAGCAACAATGGGAAATCGCGCTGCTCTGGCACAGACCAGTAGCTGGTTGGCTGCATTGAGCCATAACCACCCACATCGGGTGCCTTGAATTGGGCTGGAGGCTCCGGTTCGTTCGACTCGAAGACATACACGCCGTCTTTTTGACGTATGCGCCCAGCTTTCCCACGTGGCGGAGCGGGGATGTCTTGTTGTTCCTTCTCGCGTGCCTCTTTTGGTCGCGATATTACCGGTTCCATTGCACTCTCCAATATAGGTTCTGTCGTTTCACGCTTGGGAATCCGGGGAATCGCGCTTGGGACTGGTATAGAGATGGTTCCGGTTGGCTGTTCCTGCGGTGTCGGGGGTTGAGACGGTTGATGTTGCTGCTGATGTTGTTGAGCAGCTTTGCCTCGTCGTCCACCACGGGATCCAGGACCAGTGCGACCTCGTCGAGCAGGTTTCTCTGGCTGCTCTCCGATATCCTTGGCAGCACTTCGTCGGCCATTGGTCGCATGCTCGGCTTCAACAGAAGTATCTCCAAACGTAGGCGCAGCCGCGCGACGCGGACGACCAGTATCCGTGACAGGAGCAGGCTCTTCCTCGCCTTCATAATCGGGCTTTACCACGCCGAGATCAACCATGAGCGCATTGGACTTGGGCCGTGCAGATCGCTTAGCACGACCACGACGACTCCAGCGCTTGTTCAATTTGGCCTTGTACTTGATTTCTTCCTTGGTCAGATAGTAATGGATGATACACTGCTGATAATCCCGTCCAGGCAGTTCTGCAGCAATCTTGCCCCATTTCTTAGGATGGGCCATGAAGGCATTGGTGAACTGTTCGTGTTCTAGCGGAGTAAAGTCGTTCGATGGTGGAAAAAATCCAAACACTTCCATGGCATTCGAAACGGGTACGACATTGCTGGTGTCTTTGTAGACGCCCGCCTTAACCTCAGGCGGCTCCATCATGTTCGGAATAACCGCCTCCCTATTGGGGTCTGGTCGAGCAGTAGCTTTGCTGCCACGGCGTCGCTCCAATTCCTCTTGGGCTGAGATTTCTGACGCACGAAGGGCGTTTTGGAAATCAAGCTCGCTATTGCCTTTATATCTCCTTCCCTCCGCTGTGGTAGTCGGCAATGGCAGGGCTGGTGGAGGAGGCGGCGGCGTCTGGCTGGGTGTTAGACTGTTCTTCCCTTTCTCGTTATCCATCTCCCAGATCTCCATCCTCCAGGGCTTGTAGATAGACAAGTATTCTTCCCGAAGCACAGCATTTTTGTGCGCAATTTCCTTGCGTTGTTTCTTCAATTCCTCGCGCAAAGTTTCCCGTATCGTTTCGAAATAGGCTGCATTTTCCTGATACACATCGAGTTCGGAAAGGGGTGTGGGAGGGCCTGTGTTCAAGAACGGCAGACTTTCAACCGTGATTGCCTTGGCATCGGGAAGCGATTCAAGAACAACCTTAGCCGGTGGTTCGCCATCTGGTTTGACCTTCGCTGGAGCAATAGGCTCATATTTCGGGGTCTCTTTTTCTTCTACCGTCTCATCCACTGCCTGGTCTGTCTCACGGGGTTCGTCTATCTCCATCGGCTGGGCTGGTTCAAGCTCCGGTTCAAGCAGCTTTTCTGGCTCCCTTTCTGGCTCTTTGTCTGATTCCTTTGCTGGTTCCTTTGCTGGTTCCTTTGCTGGTTCCTTTGCTGGTTCCTTTGCTGGTTCCTTTGCTGGTTCCTTTGCTGGTTCCTTTGCTGGCTCTTTTGCTGGCTCTGGTTGTGGCTCCGGCTGTGGCTCTGCTTTGAGTTCAGGCGCGGGTTTTTGTGCTGGTTCAGGTGCAGGCTCCGGTTCACGGACGGGTTCAGGTACATCATGAGCTATCATACCTAGAAGCTGAATGCGCATAAGTAATGATACAATCGTTGGGTCCTCTAATGGAGGGCGGGGTATCTCTGTGCGCAACGCCTGCATATCTTTCTCAAAGATCCGTTTCCGCTCCTCGAGATACTCCTGCGTAAAAACCACATTTTCATCTTCGTCCTCGTCGCTTTCAGCACCAAAGTCCGGAATCACGGTGTCCTCCGGAGGTGGCTCGTCGGGCTTCTTCGGTTCCTCCACCGCCGGTTGCTCCACGGGAGGCTTGGGTGCTGGCGGAGGTGGAGGTGGAGGAGTAGGCCCACGGACGGGCTTGGGGCGCTCGGGACGTTCAAGGCGATCAAGGCGCTCGGGGCGCTCTAAGGGTGCTGGTGATTGTTCCGGCTCCTTCGGCTCCTTCGGCTCCTTCGTTGGCGCAATCTCACCAGCTTCGAGTTCCTGATCGCTGTCATATTGAGTAGGGGACGGCGGTGGCGGTGGCTCCCGTTTCGGCTCGTCACTGAGGGACAAAGTTCGCTCTTTTCCATCAAAGGAGCCCCGCTTGGGTAGTGCAATCGAATTCGGCCCGAAGGGTGGGTGACTGTATCCCGGACGAACCCATTGTTTACTGCCTTTGGGTGGTCCGCGTGCTGGCGAGGGTGGTGGTCGTTGTTGGAAGGCACGTGGACCTGTTGGGATACTGTACTGCATGCGTGGAGACGTGGGAGAGACTGCTCGAGCGGCAGGGGGCGGTGGCCGCCTGTCAAAAATGGGTGACGTCGGTGCTGGACCGGGTCTTGTTACTGATGGCGGTTCCTGGTGAACTGGAGGTTTGGCCATAGCTGCTGGAGCAGTCGGAGGCGACAAATCGGGTGCTGGCCTGGGCCCAGCACCTGGGGCGCCAGAGAGTGGTTTAGGAGCGCGGGGAACGGGATCCATCCGCCCCGTGGGCTCGGGGCCATCATCACGACGAATGCGCTGCTCCAATGGCGACGGCGGCTGTGGTCCTGCCCGCTCCGCCTTCGGTCCGGTGGGAGGCTGCACTGGTGGGCGCGACGACGGAAGCTCATTTCGTTCTTCTGCACTGGCCGGTAGCGGTGGACCAGCGGGTGCTGTATCGGCAAGGGGCTTTTCTGGCGGACCAGGAATGGGGACAGCCACTGAGCCAAACGCGGGTACCTGAGGGGCCGATGGGGGAGGCGAACGCTTCCCTGGAGCAGGGAGATCTTTAACTGGTTCCGGGCGAGGTGGCAGTAGCTCCGGCCGGTCGGTGTCACGGCGAGGTTCTGGCACGGACGGTTTGCGGGGAAGATCAGGTGGTAGATGGTCCACAGGGCGCTCTGGAGCAGGAGGCACGACGGCTGCGACGGGTGGTGGTGGGGGTAAGGATGGATGAGAAGCGGAGGTCGGGGTCGACGTGCTAGGAGGAGGAACTCGAGTATCGGCGCGACTGGGAGGTCGGTCTCGTTTCCAAAGGTCAGGCGCGGGTCTATCTCGGTCACGATCGTCTCGTTCAATACGTCGTTCTGGCTCATCTCGACGTTCAAATCGTTCCGCTCGACGCTCTAGTATTTCACGGTCTCTCTCACGGTCACGACGGTCTAGAAGATCCCGATCCCTTTCACGGTCACGATCACGGTCGTCACGTTCGAGGCGTCGCTCCGGCTCCTCTCGCCGTTCGAATCGTTCTGCTCGACGGTCAAGTATTTCTCGATCTCTCTCACGTTCCCTTATATCTCTATCCCGCTCTCGGTCCCGCTCTCGGTCTCGTTCGCGGTCTCGAATCTCCAACATTCGTTCACGATCTCGGTCTCGGTCTCTCTCACGGTCTCGTTCACGGTCGCGATCCCACCATCCATCACGCGAGCGACTCCGTCGGCGGAAAGAATCACGGTCGTCCAGAAATGGGGGGCGGCCACCGCGGCCGCGTCCACCGTCCCAATCACCCCTACCTCGACCTCGGATGGGCCCGCTGCGAGGATGATGTCCAAGTGTCGGAGGGCCATCGGGCGGGCCTATAGACGATGCGGATAGTATGCTGTCACGGGAGCCACGGCGCATTCGGACGAGGTCTGGGTCGCGGACCAAGGGCTCTCTCATGTCACGGAAATCGCGCGGCGGCGGCGGCGGAGAGCGGGAACGACCACGACCGAAGCCACCCCGTGAATCTCTGTGGTCAAAATCGCGATCCCGCCGGCCACCCCAATCCCGGTCAAGATCACGACGGAAGGGAGGGGGGCCATCTCGAAGATCCCGAAAGTCGCGATCCCGATCACGATCACGGTCTCGCGGGTCCCGATCCCGGTCACGGAAATCACCACCGCGGCCGTAACCTCGACCTCGACCAACATAATGGCCTCGGGGAGGGTGATCAATCAAAGCCTTGGGACCGCGAGGCGGCTCGCGACCCAAAGGCGGCGGAATCACATCATCAGAGCCACGAGGACCCGAAGGAGGTCGACGGTCACCGAAGCGCTGGGGGGAACGGTCCCGGGAATTGAACCCAGATAATGGGGGATATCGTGAAGACATCACCAGCGCATGCTAGTTCAAGTAGCCGGTGAAGGATATCACCTCCTCCTACAGCTGGTCAGCTTCACTCAATGACACACAGTGAATGACTCTCTAAAGCGCGAAAGTGGAATGAAGGAACAACAGAGAGAGAATATGTGGAGAACACGTGATCTGGACCCGGGATCAAATGCAGGGGCCCACATGGAGGCTTATGTCATGCACTAAGCCGAAAGAGGAAAGGGGAGGTTCGACGGAAGAACAGGAGATAACGGGCAATATATAGTAGTAGTAGTAGTAGTAAGGGGGAGAAGTGCAGAGAACATACACTCGAGGTTAGACCTGCAGAGATCCGGAACAACCGCTAAGACGAGGCGTCACCGCAGGCGCAAGTAGCTGTAAGTAGCTGTGACCACCGCGGCGGCAATGTGAAGAATCGAATATGATCAGGAAATGCGAAGTGTCCGGATTCCAGCAGACACAATCAGTAATACCTGATAGGGACAATGTCAAATGTCGTGAGGAGATGTCGACAGTACTAGTAGTGAAAAGACTTGGGAAATAGACGAGGTCGAGCCGAGTCCACACGCAGAAATCTGTAACGCAGTTTGTCGCTGGTCTGGACTGAGTCAGGGAGGATGTCAAGATGCGGTCCACCAACCACAGAGGTCAAATTTATGGAAAAATCAGCAAAAAAAGGACGAAGAATGAATGGGAAATAGAGGAAAAAGGAATGACTGAAAGTGGATGGAGGAGGAATGGAGGAATGGAAGAGGTCGAAGAGACGGGTCGAAGCTGAAATCACGGCCGTTGATTGGTTGGCAGCTGTAAGTGCCTGAGGTGCATATATAGCTTCAGGTGTCGACGCTAGTGCCTTTGCGGAATGACCTCGATTAGGTACTGACACCTGAGGCATTAACGCTTTCCCCTTTACAGACATCGAATCCCCGCCATGAAAAAAATTCCCCGCGACAAACAGACATCCCACTTGTTACTCTCGTGTCTACCACTACTTACTGCATTTTAATAGACTTACAATCATGGCTTCCAATTCTGATGTGGCCCCATCCTCTGCCACAAATGCTGTGCTTGTCGCCTCAGAACCCATTCCTGAGGGCACCCATCAGGTCCGCGGGGTCGACTTTGATCGCTTCAAGGGCCGTGACATTACGGCTGCTGAGCTGGTCGAGAACATGGTTCATACGGGATTCCAAGGCAGTGGTGTCGCTGAGGCTGCTCGTATCATTAACGATATGGTATGTAAACAATTCCCCATTATCTACCATACGCAACTGACACTGTATAGCGCGCATACCAGCATCCCGAGACCGGCGAAAAGACCACCATCTTCCTGGGTTACACCTCGAACCTGATCTCCTCTGGCCTACGAGACACCATCCGTTACCTCGTGCGCAACGGTCACGTTTCTGCTATCGTCACTACCGCTGGAGGAGTGGAGGAGGATCTGATCAAGTGTCTGGCCCCGACATACCTCGGTTCTTTCACCGCACCCGGAGCGGACCTGCGCGCCAAAGGACTGAATCGCATTGGAAACCTCCTCGTCCCCAACAGTAACTATTGCTCCTTCGAAGACTGGGTGGTCCCGATTTTCGATAAGATGTTGGAGGAACAGGAGGCCGCCAAAAAAAAGGCTCTCGAGTCTGGCGATGATGAGGACGAATTGCACTGGACTCCGAGTAAAGTCATCGAGCGGTTGGGCCGGGAAATCAACCACGAGGATTCAGTCTTGTACTGGGCCGCACGCAACAACATTCCCGTCTTCTGCCCCGCTCTTACGGATGGCTCCCTGGGCGACATGCTCTACTTCCACACCTTTAAGTCTTCTCCCAAGCGACTCCGGATTGACATTATCGACGACGTGCGCCGCATCAACACAATGGCCGTCCGGGCTGCCCACGCAGGCATGATCATTCTTGGGGGTGGCGTGATCAAGCACCATATTGCCAACGCTTGCTTGATGCGCAACGGCGCAGAGCATGCTGTCTACATCAACACGGCACAGGAATTTGATGGTAGTGACGCCGGTGCTCGCCCAGACGAAGCAGTCAGCTGGGGAAAGATCAAGACGGATGCCAACTCGATCAAGGTAAGTTTCTGTTACAGATGTCTACTTGCTACAAAATACTGATATTAGCAGGTTCATGCCGAAGCAACCGTTGTCTTCCCTCTCATCGTGGCCGCATCATTTGCGCGAGCTACGTCGTCGGCTGAATCTCAATGATGCGAGACCGTTTATGCATTCAATCCTTGCAATCAGAATTGACAGTTCCCATCCAAATTTCTACAGTTGAGAAATGTTCGATGCGAAACATTGAGACGCTCTCCCCTCAAGTACATATACCGAGTGTATTCCGTATCGCTCCACGAGGAAAATGTTCGGACGTCTCGGCCCGGAATGCTGTGGTCCAATGACAACCATACTAAACTCAGACTTTTCCAACGAACCTTGCCTGATAGAGACGTCGACAACTACATGATTGGTCCGACTCTGTAAGTCACAAGAGCGGGATTGGACGAATTCAGGAGAGGGCGGAGAGAGAAAAAAGAAAAAGTGGACGGCTCAAAGGGAACCAATTGTCCAACCATGGGTCAGACCGCATTCGAGAAGCCGAAATCTTTTCTTTCGACGGATGGATCGGAGTCGGTGGTGGCGAATGCATGTCGGTCAGGGCAATAAAGCACACTTAACCTGATGACTTGGTGTGATTGAGTGAACTGTTAGGGTTTGTGATTGGTTACCATTGGCACTAAGTCACGTGTTGGGTATGATATAGACAACTTGAGCATACGAATCCTCCGGAGTATCTCCAGACGTCTCCATTGCTGCAGACTACCAGTAGACTCTCAATTGAACGGAACATCCAATCCCGAATGCCATTGTCCCTTTATATGCCTCCAATCGCCACAGCCCCCTGATTAACCGGTGGTGTGGCCGTTGATCTGTCGCTGCATTTTTTCCCTTTCTGCATTTTTCTCTTTTCTTTTCTTCCATTCTGTATCGGCAATTCCTTGCTTCTTCTCCCCTTTTCTGTGCATTTCATTCATTCTTCGCCCCCTTGTCTTCCGCGCTTGTTCTTTCCATCTTTATATCCTTCCTCCCGGGGCTGGTGTTAATCTGTTCACTACCCCGGATATACTGATAAGCGATAAGCTGTTCTAGACTCTCTCTGCCGACTATTTTTGGCCCTTCTTCACAACACTTTTTCATTCCTTCTCTTGTATCTGTCGTGTTGTTCCTTTTAACCAAATGGATTCTAGCAATCCCTCCCAGACCCTCCAGCGAAGCGACAATGCCCAATCGCTACCAGAACAGCAGACCCCGGTGACCAACTCCGCCGTCCAAGCCATCATGGACCAGCCGACAGACGCCCGTCCGCCACCCGAGCATGCCTACTGGGCTGAGATTGAGGAGGATCTGTCGGTACCAGATGAAGCAGAGGTGAAGGAGATTGAGTCAAAGGCGGATAATGACGCCTCTGCGACCAAGTGTAGGTTATCCAACTCGAAACATAAAGACAAGGAGGCTGACAGTTATAGATGACCATTGGGAAAAGACCTTCTACCCCGACCTCGGTGACCCCGAGTACAAGCCTGTCGAAAAGGCGCGCCTGTCTTGGAAGTTGAAAGGCGTTCGAGGAACGAAGGAATGTCCAAACTGGGCTACGGTCATGCGCTCTCCCCCTGCGTATATCAGTGGTTACTGGTGGACGATCAAGTTCTTTCCTCGTGGGAACAAGGCGAATTCGTTGAGTATTTATCTCGAATGTTCGAGTACCATGCCAACCCCGGACAGAACATTGCCCGAGAGCGAGTTCAAGGTACTCCGGGGAGCCCCTGATGCCACATTGAACGACTGCACTCCGGATCTGGACCTCAAGACCGAGAAAACAGATGACTCAACCGCCTGGCTGGACATGTACAAGTCCAAGTACCCACCAGCAGCAGCTTCGCAAGAGCGCTCCCAAACCTGGAGAGTCGCTGCTCAAGTCGCAGTCATCATCTACAACCCCGACGAACCCCGCACCGCCTGGATGCAATTCTCGTGTCACCAGTTCAATCCCCACAATTTGGACTGGGGCTGGACCGACTTCCACGGCCCGTGGGACAAAGTCCACGTGCGTCAACGTGGTCAGCGCCAGCCGCTCCTTCGCAACGACACCCTGGCCTTTGACGCTTATATTCGCATTATTGACGATCCAACCCATTCGCTTTGGTGGCATCGCAGTGTCACGGAGAATACCTGGGATAGTCTGGGTTTGACTGGCTACCGGCCACTGGGTGATTCTGGCGTCAACCACCGTGCAGAAGTAGCGGGGCTGGCTTCTTGGTTGCACATTGCTCCTTTCTGCAAGATCATCCAAAGCGTCGATGTTTTGGAGCATCTTGCCAACTGCGAGATCAAGCCCAAGCCTTTGTGTGATGCACTGCAAAGGGTCCTGTGGACGGTGCGCTCCCGCAGTGGGTCGCAGTATGTCGACACCGACGTGGTCACCGCTACACTGCGCAATCTGAACGAGTACTCGAGCGACGTATCCGAATTCTGGGAACGTTTGCGTCGCGGTCTTGAACTGGAACTGGCGGGGACCAAATCCGGCGAAGAATTCGCCAAGCTGTTTGACAGCCCGTCTGTTGCACAGCTCCCCGGGGCCTTAGAACCCGTCAACATGCTTCCCCCGGATTACAACTCGCGCATCTGCGTCCAGGCCGATGAAGTCAAAACGACAGGTGAAGCTTTGGCCCAGTATTTCAGCACAAAGCCAGGCCGTTGGGCCCTGCCCCCTGTGCTCAACATCGAGCTTAACCGCCACAAACTTGACCAAGTCACAAAGCAGTGGCGCCTCCTCTATAACCGCGTCGATCCGGACGAAGAACTTGATTTGACAGAACAAGTTGCAGAGGGCCAATGCGGCCGTTACGTCTTGTATGGTTACGTTGTCCACCGCGGCCGCCGCACCTCAGGCAAGTTCTTCAGCATTCTCCGTCCTGGCGGTCCGGGAACGCGTTGGTTCGCATTTGACGACGGCAGCGATAAACGCGTCGAGTGCTTGACACGGAAGACGGCACTGGGACCGCATTTAGGTCTGGATGCTTCTAAGAAACCAGATCAGAAGACTGGTCATGACGTTGCTGTAGTGATTATGTATATCCGCAGCGATGTCGTAGGTGAGTTCTTGCCTGGTCCGCAGGGACAGTGGGATGCGCCGGAGGATATGAGGGAGTACTACGAGACGGGCGAATACCCGTTCAACAAAACTGTGGATGGCAAGCCTGCTGAATCTGATCTGCAAGTGGAAGTCTACTCGCTGCCTAACTACGACGAGATGGGTAGTTTGTTCGATACATATGATCTGATGTCTCGGGCCAAGTCAAGCAACAATGCCATGTACCTGAGCGTACCCCGATCATCTACCTTTGTCGACCTCCGCAACAAGGTGTCGTTGTGGAAGTCTTCAGGTGGAGATGCCATCCTGTCAGAACATGTCCGTCTCTGGCAAATCGGACATACGCTTGATCGTCATGGACCAACGCTTGCATTCTCCCGTGTCTCGTCTCTCAACGACACATTGGATCTACCAGCAAAGGTAGCGCGTTTCTGGATGCAAGTTGTCTCAGGTGAAGAAGCCAAATACTTCGCCATGCCAGATCCGCCAAAGAGTATTGCTTCGGCGCAGAAGCCTATGCTCGATGGAGCTGTCGTCGAGCAAAGGTCTTCGCAGTCTATTCACGAGGTGGATGATTCTGTTGATCCGGCTTTGCTTGAGCAGTCGTCTGGAACCGTTAGCAATGATGGACAGTCATCTGCTCCTACGCCTCCATCGTCGGTGGAAGGGAACCCTGACAGTGATGCTGTTTTTGCTCGAAGGATTGCCAATGAGATTCGGCAAATGGATGTGGCTGCGGCGTCTGAGGCAGCGCAGCAGCAGGAACAGCAGCCAACACCCGATGCTACTGCTGAATTGACCATCCAAACTCGATCCACCGAAGCATCCGAACCCGCTACCGCTGTCCAATTACCAGCACCCCACGTCTACTACTTCCTCCAACTCTTCAACGCAGACACCCAATCCCTCCGCACAATAGGCACATTCTTCTCCCACGCAAACGAAAACATCAAATCCGCACTCCTCACCCACCTCCCCAACCCACCCAAAGACATCATCATCTACCAACGCACCGAAACAACAACCCTAACCTCCCTCTCCGCCAGCGAAACATTCAACCCCGTTTCCACCCCCGACGGCACCATCTTCATCGTCAGCGAGCGCCTGTCCACCGAAAAACGCACTTCCCTCTACACAGCCGGCAACTTCTCAACCCCACAACCTCTAATAACCTACCTCTGGGCCTCATCCCGCAAACATCCAACGCAATCCTTCACCGGCACAGCCACCCTCCCCGCCTCCTTCAGCACCGACTCCTACACCGGCACCCTGCTTAAAGGCCACTACCACGGCCCCGGCACCCACATCACCCCCCTCGGCTCCACTTACACCGGCACCTTCACCTTCTCCCTCCGTCACGGTCATGGCACCATGACATACCCCTCCGGCGACACCTACGAAGGATCCTGGGCGCACGACGTACCCCACGGCCAAGGCACATACATTGAAGCGAAGACCGGCAATAAATACGTCGGCGGGTATAAGGATGGAAAGAGGCACGGGAAGGGGGTGAGCTATTGGGAGGTTGCGGATGAGGAGGCGGATTTGTGTTCGATTTGTTATGGGGGGGAGAAGGATGCTGTTTTTATTGGGTGTGGACATGTCTGTGCTTGTGTGGGGTGTGCGGGGTTGGTGGATTTGTGTCCGATTTGTAGGAAGCGGGTTAAGAGGGTGATTAGGATTTATAGGGCTTGATCAATCCCTCCGGCTACGCCTCCGGAATTGGTTAGTTATGTTCGGGGTTTGGTTTGGTTTGGGTTAGAGATATATGTAGTACCCGGAGTTAGGCAATTTACTTTATGTTCAATAGACTATCCTACATAATTGTACAGTAGACAAACATATGCAAGGTATTATCAATTGATCAATTCTATCTACCAAAGCAACAAAAGAACTGCATGCGCCGCCCAAAACCAAACACTGATGCTTTTATAACACATAAATTCAACAAGAATGTACAGATAAGATTATTTAGCAGCCTTCTTAGCCTGCTTCTTCTTGGGTTTCTCGGCCTTGGGCTCGGACTTCTCCTTCTTCTCCTTTACTTCTTTCTTCTCTTTGGACTCGGTGGGTTTGGATTCCTGAACCACCTTCTTGTCCTGCTTCTTCTCCTTTACCTCTTTCTTCTCCTTCTTATCTTCCTTCTTGGGAGTTTCTGTCGAGGTAGTGGTGTCTTTCGACTCGGTGGGCTTGCTTTGCTCCGTGGGTTCGGGCTTCTCTGTCTTCTCGGACTTGGCCTTCTTGGGCTTGTTCAGAACAGCCTTGGGGTTGAGACCCTTTCTCCTCAAGCGACTCCGCTCCGCACGTGCGATGCGCTCCAGATCCTCATCGTCGTTCTCGAACGGACCGAACGCACCACCCTCGAGAGGAATGCTCTTGCCCTCTTCATCGATAATGGGAGTCTTATCGACCATCTCAACATCGTCACTGGTAGTAGAAGCAATCGAAGGAGCCTTGGTGGCAGGAGCATCAGCAGCATCGCCGTTGGCGGTAGCAGCCTTCTTAGCATCAGGGCCAGCAGCGGTCTTCTTAAGCTTGCACACGAAGAAACCATCGACGTTCTCGCGATGCGGGAAGTAGCGACGGGTCATGGTCATCTTGGGATCGAACTGCTTGCCCATGTACTTTGTGAAACCCGGGGTACCGAAGCCGCCAAGGCCAGTGTCGACGAGCTTGACGTTGGGCCGTTTGCGGAGGATGTACTGCACGACAGCTTCGTTTTCTTCGACAGTGACCGAGCAGGTCGAGTAGACGATGTAGCCGCCTGTCTTGGAGGCGTGGTCGACGGAGTCCACCGCGGCGAGGAGCAGTTGGCGCTGCATGTGCGGGATGGCGAGAAAGTCGCGCTCGTTCTTGGAGGTCTTGACGCTGGGGTCCTTGGCGATAACGCCTGTTCCGGTGCAGGGGGCGTCGAGGAGGACGCGGTCGAAGCCGCCCATGGCCTTGGGGAAGGCGTCGCGGGCGTCGAGGTTGGTGACGACGGTGTTCTTGCAGCCCAGACGGTGGATGTTACCGATGAGACCCTTTGCACGGGGTTTGCTGGCATCGTTGGCGATGACGGTTCCCGTGTTGCGCATGAGGGCGGAGATGTACGTTGTCTTACCACCGGGGGCGGAGGCCATATCGAGGACGCGCTCGTTGGGTTGCGGGGCGAGGGCCATGACGGGGAGGAAGGAGGAGGCGGCTTGGAGGATGTAGTGGCCAGCGAGGTATTCGGGGGTTGCACCCAGGGGAACGGCGGATTCGAAGACCTGCAGACCGACCTTGGACCATTTGCCGACGGGTTCGAGGACGACACCGCGGTTGATGAGTGCCTGGGCGAGGGAGCGACGGTTCGTGCGCAGGGTGTTGGTACGGAGGACGACGGGACGGGGGGTTTCGTTGGCTTCGAAAAAGGCGAATGCTTCCATGGGGGTGAAGAGGTTGAAAAGCTTTTCTGCGAGGAATGGGGTGTAGCCGTAGTACGTGCAGATGTCACTCAAAAGCAGTTGAACGTAGTCGGCACGCGACTTGCCAGGTTGGCCCAATGTCTTCAGGTCGCCCAGAATCCGAATTGTATCCGTAATCCGTGTCCGAAGGAGCTGAAGGTCAGGAGCAAGACCTTGCCCGCTTTCACCGGCTTGAAACACATCTGGCCGGTCACCGGCAATGTTGGTCTGCAAAGCTGCCTCCTGCAATTCAGCCTCGGCTTCCTCTTCTTCCAGTTGTCTGGCTTCGTCGAGTTTCCGCGACAATCCTTCCATGTTAGCTGCTGTGAGCTTCTCCTCCGCATCGGAGTCGTCCTCGTCGTCGGAAAACATGGCTTGCCGGGGGTGGTCTTCTTCTTCGGAATCGATAAACGAGTCGTCCTCTTCCACGTCCGAACCCTCTTCCACCGACCCATCACTAACACCATCCAAATCACCAAACTCATCATCCATCATCTCTTCATCATCACCCTCACCCTCAAGATCCGACGCCTCCTCATCATTCTCATCATCCGACTCCATAAAGTCAACAGGCTTAGCCTTAGGCTTCTTCTCCTCCACCTCCTTCTTCGCGGCTCCATTCACCTTCTTCTCCTTCCCATTGACAGCAGCAGCGCCATTGACCTTCTTCTTCGGCTTCTCCTCCTCATCGACCTCTCTTCTCCGCTTCTTGCCCGCTTCCGCCTTGGTCTCTGCGACATCAGCGCCGGCCTTGCGCTTCTTGAGGTCGAACTTGGACTCGTCCAGAGGGGCCGGAGGGCCTTGCTTCTTCATGCGACGTCCTTTACCCATTTTGAGAGGTTGTGGGGTTGTAATGGTGTTGAGGTTTTGGCTGGTCTGGGCTGAGGATTCGAACTTTTTTTTTTTTTTTTTTCGCGCTTCTGCTGGGCGGTGGTAACTGGCAGAAAGTTTACTGAAGGCGGTGTATACTATGGCCTGAGGTGTCGGTTTGCTTCCGCCCGATTGGGAAATGTTGGCTACTCCGCGGTTCCACGACATCGCTTCAAGCCTGTTGAACATCTTGCGCTCTCCATCACAGCCAGGAACAGTACAATACACGACATCATCATGGCAGAAATCGCCTTTGCAAAATCCTTCCTCTCCGCCCTCGACCCCAAACCCGTCAAGCTACGCGCCGACTATGTCCTCCCCCCGGAACAAGTAGACCTTCGCGGTCCGGTGCGTCACCATACCCATCCCCCCAATACATCCTCTCCATATAACTCCTTCTAATTAAAAGAATAGTACCTCCTCCCCCGCCTTCCCCCGTCTCATCCACCCATGCCCAAGAAAACCAAGTCCACCACGGCCCCAGGCTCCTCGAAATCAATCACCATCCACCTAAAATCCACCCGCAACCCTTCCCTCGAATTCACCCTCCCCACCGCCCCCCTTACCACGACATCCGTGGAGGATCTGAAAGACGCTGTGCGCGAGCGCGTCGTCGATGCCAGCGGTAACAATGTCTCTGTTGAGAAGATTAAGATACTGTATAAGCGGAAGCCGGTTTCTGGGAAGACGGTTGCTGAGGTTTTGGCTGGTGCTGATGATGGGTTGCTGGGTGGGGGGAAGGAGGTTGAGTTTGGGGTTATGATTATGGGGGGTGCGACTGTTGTTGAACCTCCTGTGAGTAGGACTGGAACTGGGACTGAGGAGAAGGGTGGAGGTGAAGGGGAGGTTACGGCGAAGCCGGTTGTTGGGCCGAGTGGGGAGGATGTTTTGGAGACGGAGGCGTTCTGGGATGATTTGCAAGGTTTCCTTATGCAGAGGGTTAAGGATGTGGAGGAGGCGAAGAGGTTGAGGGGGTTGTTTAAGGGGGCTTGGAGTTCAGGGAGGTGATTTTCATATATATTTAATTGGATATAGATGATACCTTGAATGTGGATATGATTTGACATTCGATGTTCTGTATGGCATTTGATTGACTCGGTCGAAAAAGAATACCTACTTCATACGGAGTGTCATGTATCAAGCGACGTTCAAAGCAGTCACTATAAAACGGACATCTACAGCAGGCACATAGACAAGCTAAAGAAAAATGCATACTATGGTACACTCAAGCAGTATGAGACGCATGGGCTATCCAGCAAAAATGCCAAACGAGGACAAACGCCAGGAGATGACGAAGGACCAAAGACAGCTAGTTGGGAATGTATGCAGAATCAAAATTCAATCATTCCACATGAGGACTCAGATCCAAGAAGATATAGTCACAAACAACCAGAAGGAAATACATGCACAACATGGACATGACAAACTAACACAACACAGAAAGAAAGGGAATCACAAGAAATGACATGGCATAACATAACATAACATGGCTGGTTATCAATCAGATACAAGATAAAAGAGAAAAGAGAAGCTAGAATCACAGGTAAGAAAGTAAAAAAAGAAAAAGGAAAAAAAGAATCGAACGGATGATGCAAAAAACTGACCCCGTTTCAAATGCTCAAAAATCAGCCCAACCAACTCATCCATTTCGTACAACCAAAAGAAACCAGCTGCGTCGCTTTATTCACCAGAGAGGGGGGTATAATAGAGTAAAAGTCAAGTCAAGGTTGCTTGGGGCTTGGGGCTTCATCTCGAAAACACTTTGACTACACCATCGCCGCCGCCGCTGATGACCCATCGGCCGTCGCGGCTCCAGGTCGCGGCGCAGACGCCTTCGCCGCGCATCAACCGATGGCTTGTGATTTCTTGGGTACAGCTTCGCTTTTCGAGGTCCCAGAAGCGGAGGCTTGCGTCGTGCCCTGCGGAGACGAGTTCGCGGCCATCTGGGGAGAGAGAAAGCGAGGCGATGGCGGCCGGGTGGGCAAGCATGGTGTATGTGCATTGACCTGACGAAGTTAGTATCAAAGTTGATTGCTGCGTGAAGGGATGGATGTACGTACCACTATTCGCATCAAAGAAGCGAATGTACCGGTCCTCATAACCACTAATAACCACGCCCTCCACGCCACTGGACCCAGTAGCACCGTGGACTTCCTCCTCTGCACCCATCGTCCGGTTAGGGTCTAGATGTGCCGAGCCATCGAAGCCGATAGTAGATGCAACAACGGCATTAACGCCAGTTGACGGGGTACCGTCGTAAGTCTCCTTACTAGCCATACCCACAATCTCTTCACCGGTCCTCGTGTCATAGACAACAATCGACGCATCAGCGTACGAGACAACAAAGTTAATACCGGCAAGCGACAGCGGACTGATACACGTCGGCGACGGCGACTCAGCGAGAACAATCTGGTGAACAAGCGTGTAGTGGAACGGTGTAATTGTCGCGATGTTCGGTTGCGGTGAATTCGAGAAGTTAGACCCTGAAGAAATCGAATTCGCGCGTCGACTTCCACCAGCGCGCCGCGATCCTGCCTGCGGCGAGGCAGCCTGTGGAGGAGCGCTGACAGACCATATTAGGATCTTGCCGTCTGCGCCTCCAGAGGCAAGCAGGAGACGATCAGGGCCTCCGTAGCGGTTGCAATCTTCCCCGAATACAGATCCTGTCGTGCCGGGTAGAATGCAGAGTCCCCACACAGCATCCGTGTGACCGTCCAGAGTAGCCTTGGGGTCTACCCTTCCACGCTCCCAGACTCGGATGCTGGCATCCTGGCCACCAGAGAATACCCAGCCATCTCCCAGGGCACGTCCGCCGTTGGAGAAGTGCTGGGATGGAGAGCACGCCGCCAAGGACGTTACTGCCCCGGCGTGTCCCCGGTGGGTAAAGTAACTCGTGATGTCCATATCAGATGATGAGTTGTACCCAAAGCCTGCCGGGATGATCCATCGCTTAATAGTCCCGTCATCACTGCACGTGCAAACTTCAGGCTCTGATGGACTACCGCCGCCTGTGAAGATTACAGAGCGGATGACATCTAAATGGCCCCGGAGCGCAAACCGAACCCTGAAATTAGGGTCTTCTTTTTGAGCCTGCACCACATTGCTTTCTTTAGATTCGGTAGCGCCCTCCGCCTGCCTCGAGCTAGAGCTCTTTCTCCGGTGGACAAGGCCGCCTGTCGAATTTGGAACAAAGTTGGCGTTAGGGAAAGCATCGGTGTCCGGTTTATGGGGTGGGATGTGTTCGACCATAGGCTCCTGGCCGGACGGTTCGTCGAAATTCCAGCCATCCGAATCGTCAGAGCTCTCCTCCATCTGTTGCGGTTTCGGTTCCTCCTTGGGAGGGTCTTGCGCGCCATATTCTTCGAATGCCTGCCTGGGAGGGCCAGAGGCTTCCTCCAGAAACGCGTTGTCCAGGGAGTTCTTCCGGCCATCGAGAGCAGTCACGGAAGTCTGAGGCTCTAAGAACCTCCTATCGAGGGGTTCCCTGGGAACTGGTAGACCATGCGCGCGAGCCAATCCGGGGTTCTCCGAATACTGCAGGACAGGTTGGTGGTTTGGGAACTGGACTTCGCGAGCCATTATGTGATTCCCCTGCTGCTGCTGCTGCTGCTGCTGCTGTTGCTGCTTTTGTCGTTGTTGGTGCATGTAGGCTTCCTCCAGGCTCTGCTGAGACATCGGTTGGCCTCCGTAGATATGGTTGGGAAGATCCTGCTCGGCCAATTCCGCAGACGGATTCGACGCGGGGATGACATGATACGTGACTTCCTGTGAGCACTTGGACAAGTAAAGACGCGACTTGTCTCGTTCATTCTCCTGTCGGTATTCGGGTTGGGTCTCATCGGGGCCGACGTCGAAGGGGTGATTTGAAAGCCTGGGGTGTTGAGCTGTAACAAAATAGACATTAGCACCCGCGCAAACAAGCGATTCAAGGGGAAATGTACATTTCACTGCGCTCAAGCTCTCCCGTGCAATCTCCTTGGGATCCCTCATATCATCAACCTCCTCGTTATTGGTGAGTTTCTTCACCTTCTCGCGCTCCTTCTTCAGCGCAGCCTCCAGCAGCCGCACGTGCTTAGCCAAAGACTCGCGTAAACGCTTGTTTGTCCGGACATCACCCTCCAGTCTGCCAATGCGGGATTTCATCTCCGCGCGTTCGATTTCCCAGGCGTTGCGGTCTCGTTCGTGCCGGTGCCATTCTGTCTGGAGGAAGCGCATCACACCTAGAACCGGAACCATTAGCATAACCCCAACGCACGACATCAAGCTTCCAAAAACCATAACACACCTTGCAGCGTGTACTCCGTCCCCTGAGGATGTCCGCCATTGGGCCCCCCATCACCGGAGCCAACGAACCCTCCACCCCCAGCCATGGCCGAGGGAGATTGCCAAGCCATGCAAGTTCAACGCAACACACACAACACAACAAACGACGAGAAGCTAGCAAACGCGAACCGGAAGAGCTCTCCAGCCCGCAATCGGTCCGTTTTTTGTTGTTGTTGTTGTTGTTGTTGTTGTTGTTGTTGTTGTTGTTGTGGGGAAAGGAAGAGAAGCCAGAAAAGAAAGGCACGTGGTTAAATTGAGTAAAAGTTTCACGCCGGGGAACTCAGCAGCTATGGTGCCAGAGCTGGGCCCGAGTCGGTCGTCGTTGAGCACTCGTGTCCGCACGGACTGGACGCTGGATTTTGTTGATGTTGAGCGAATCAGGGCGGACAGCGTTCGGGGCCCTTGGAACGTGTCAGCTCCGATCGAGAACAGCGGGGATCGTCAAGAGGCGGTTAATGGAAAAGGAGAAATGTCCAATTTCCGCGGTGCATTAGACGGCAATGCTTGAACAATGAGCACAAAGGGTAGAAGAAGCAAAAAGTAGAATGGGCAACGGGGCTCTCCTACGAGAATCTCGCGCTGGCTGGACCTTACCGTCACTGCTTTCTTTGGCGCGCGTCTGTTGCCCAGAGGGGGTTGGAGAAAGCTGTTGTGATTGGCTGTGGTAGCCGCGCGCTAGTCCAGTACTATCAGGGGTACAACCAGGTGAATGACAATAAAACGGCACATTTTGTGTGACAGCTGGGTATACAGGGTACAATGGCATTGCTATTATTCTATGAAATTGGTCGTCAAATCTTCAATCAACCATGATGGCTGTCAAAACTCCAGTTCCTCTACTTCCATCCCACAATCCACGCATTTCTTAACCCCAATGCCAGTTTCCGGATTCTCAATCGATCGTCCCCATTGATGAACATGTCGCCCTGAGCCCAGATCATCACCAAAGTTCCCTCCAGTGGCACCTTTACGACTGCGCCGGTAGGCATCGACTCGCGTGCGCTTCTTCAGATCCTCCAGCTTACTCTTGAACTTGGTTTCGCGCCGCTTCTTCTTGTCATTCTCTCGTCTTTCGAACTCCGCATCAAGAGCCTCTTGGGAGCCCCATTTCTTATCTGAGAAGGCGTATTCTTCAACCTGGTATCGGAGATAGAGCATCATGTTGTTCCACGTGGACTTGTGAGGATTGGGGCGCTCAAGGCGTGGTAGCAATTCTTCGTCTCGGAGTTCAGCTGCAGACAAACGAAGTCAGTCAGCACACTCTTCCTCGCACTAGGGTAGATGAAACACTCACGGTCAGTCAGGAGGTAGTCCTCTTTGGCTTCCGTCTTTGTAAGTAAACTGTACTTCTCCGGAAACTTCTCCTTGCACAAACTGCACACGCAGCATTTGAGCATCTCTTCCCACTTCCAGTCAATTTCCAAATCCCCACACTCCCGACATGTTTTCTGCTTGCTCTTATCCTCCAGGACGCTGATAGCCGGCTCAAACGGCCCTGCGCGCTCTCGACGCAACGACTGTAGCAATTGTTGCCGTTCCCATTCTTTCTGCGTCATATTCGCCGGCTTCTGTTCCCTCTTCCCGTCGCCCATATGGAGCGCTCTGTTGTGCGGATCATCCTCTTCGGTCAAGAACCCTCCCTTGGTATCGGTCATCTTGCTGAAATCGTAGTCGACAAATTTGGTAAAGTTGCGAGCGGGCTTGATCGTATCCAAAGGGCGACTCTTGGAGGCATCGCGAACTGTCGCTGGCGTTTCGGCTGTCATGGAGGAATAGGATCGCTTAGCGCCGGATGGCGCAGAGGTCGACGCATTTGATGAGGATTTGCTGGTTTCTTCTACTTCGCGTTGTTCTCGTATTGCTTTCGCCTTCATCCGATTGATTTCCTATACGTTTTGATGGAATGTCAGACCATGCGATCTTGAAGGGGAATTCGCTGATAACCTACAATTCTCCGCATCTGCTCCGCCGTCAAAGGGGCCCGCGAAGGCTCGCTTAAGTTTGCATCAGGCTGCGGAGTTGGATTCGAAGTCTGATCAGCTTCCATTTCGAACGTAGTGTTTCCGTTATTCCTGCTGTTGGGCTTAAGCAGTCGGTATGAATAGGATCGCAAGGCTCGACTCTGGGGAAGATGCGGAAGACGAACGCCACATCACGTGAAGATAAACCATTTTGTGGCGCAGTCTATACTCCGTACTCCGGAGTAGAGCCATTCCAATGGAATACCAGCACCCGCTTGGATTTGCGCCGGGATCAGGACATGGTCAGGCTGTATCAAGGTAAGGCTACCATAGCTTCTCTGTACATGAGTTGGCATCCAATTGTCTATGTATCACCTGAGCTTGTGATACCAGCCGATTCGTACAATTCGTAGTCGTCCCTTTCCTGCCCATATAGTACCTCACACACGCCTCCCACAGGAACGTCCATCACGGCATCAGTGCCTTCGCTCCAGATATCCTTCCAGTTCACCTTTCGCTGCTGCGGCCCCATAATCTGGTATGACGTCGCTCCGGGTTTCATTCTCGAAGAACCTCCTGGTCGTCGACGCCCTCTGCCGTCAATAACTGACACATTTGCTACCTCATCCACTATATTTTCGATGCTGTTCATGGGTAGAGTCAAGTAGCCGGTGTTGTAGGATGCCAGTGCGATGTAGATGTAGACGATCGACATGACCAACCATGAGGGAAACGCGAGAGACCACCATCGATTCGGATAGTAATAGATGCCGAGTTGGTGAAGGAATGGCGATGGGAGATACGACCAGAGGATATAGATCACTAAATCCCACTACGTTAGCACAGCTTGGGTTTTCCCACATCGGAAATGACTTACAGAAAGCCAATGACGAAGCGAGGTATAAAACGAATCCGTAGTATTCATAGGTCGGAACCTTCGGGCTTGCTCTTGGAACGGTCGTTGCGCGCTGAGCGGACTTTGCGACAGCGGCTTCAGTATCATCAGGGGTTTCGACATCGGAGCCGTCAGGAGTCGTCGGACGAGAGGTAGTAGCTGAGAAAGGCGGTCGCAGAAGCGATGTCAGCGATGGCGACGGGGGCAATGGGGTAGGAGGTCTGTTATAGAACGGCGGCGCAAAGGCATTGGGCCCGTGGAGCGAACTAGTCGACTGTCGAAAAGAATGGTGATGCATGCCGAGATTGTCATCAGGAGGCCCATCATCGGAACCTGAGGAAGCATCTGACAGCGATTGGGATTCATGCGAGTAATGCGATTGAAAGTCAGCCTCTTCCACGTCTATATGGTCATAGACTGGAGAAGTGGCATCCTGTCCGTCGTTCTCGGGGTAGCCATTCTCGTTGGTCGCGAAGTCACCATCGTCGGGGGTGAGAGGCGGGAAAGGCTGCTTGGGAGCATCGTGGGACATGGCGCTGGAAGGCTCGTCCTGTTCAGGCTTGGAACGGGGCATTCTTCGTCGAGGCCATGGGAGTTGGTGGTGGTGCTGTCGCATCGGCCTGGCTGCTGGCCGTCTATACTGCCTCGGCTCACCGCTCGCCATTTGGAGATACTTGTTTTTTCTACTCGAAAGAAGTATTTTGTTTGATTGTAAATGGTTTGTCTATGGACATTTGGCGATAGGGGATATGTATTCAATTGTAGAAAATGTCTGCCTATTCCGTGTCTTGGATAGATCCTGGGCCAAGCACTCCGTATATACGGAGTACATTGTAAGAATACAGCAGCATCGTTATCCAAGTGCCAACAGGAGTAGTGACGATGTTATACTATCAGTGATTGCTATCCCACTGCTATTATTTGGTTGTTTGAGTGTTCGATATCACCTGACTGAGCCTATTTCCTAATGCGGTAACAGAGAACGCCCAACACCTCAAGACGGACAGTTTGTCAGAGCGGAGAACAGAAAACAACTCATGCAGAGGCTACGGCAAGAACAAAGTCATCACTACCGGCATCACAACCATGACCAACCACGGAGCATATCACTCAGCTGAAAGATCTCTTCAAACACAAGCAAGGATGACTCCGATCTGAATGCAAGGTGCCTCTCGTCACATCAGGCCCCATGATCATCTGAAGCCGACGAACCTCGACACGGACACGTACCAATGCGCTATCTAGACTGACTCGAACAATAACACCGGCTATGCGTCATGGCCGCTCCATGATTCACGCGTTAGCGGCCACGATACCATGCATCAGGTCCGTTAATGTCGTTGGAAGACTGGCGGACGCATGAAAGATGTCAATTGCAACGTCAACAGCCGGAGACTGATAAGGCAAAAATACCATCCCTTGTGTGTAGGCTGAATGACATGTACCCAGGATGCACGCCGGGATTTGTACTCCGTACTTTGGCAGCAGCATGCTATCTGGGCGGAAGCACATCATAGCATTGGTTCTCACGGGTGATCCCCGGAAGGGAGCGCAAACCATTTACCAAGTTTGGGATCAGTCTCAATGATTTTAGGAAATGTCGGAGCAATGGATGTGGTAGCATTGCTCATTGTCCTGGGTAGCACGGCATTACTGGTCGATGCAGATATTGCTTTTTTTTTTTTTTTTTTCTCCCTCATTTCTCCTGCGGTTTGGCCTTTTGGACGGAAAGGCATGCCAATGCTACCTCGACCTCGGTTTCCTTTTACCCCATTGGGCCAGCTGCATTTTTAGAGGCATAACCACACCCCGGTGCATCGTTCTCTCGTGTCTTCAGCTCACAAATCCGCTGTGTGGCTTAAGTTAGCCATCTTCGGGAATGGTTTGGAACATCGGATCAGCAATTTCGCTACGCTGGGGAAGATATCCATTTAGACGACGAAAACCTCCGCAAACTATTGGCGGCTTATGTTTACGGTCTTTCCTAGACTCTTTCCCAAAAGTCCGTTCTTTCCGCCGGGACCCATTGTGACAAGACCGCATTCCCCGGTGCTCCCGCTCTCTTATCTGCCAGTCATTTCCCAGGTCTGGAGCCCCCCTGATCAACACGCGAATTGCAGAATAGAGCCGGACTTGACATGTATATGTCCGTGCACCTGTCGGGAAATCTGGATCGCAAATCACAGAGCTAGAAAGCTCAGGAGTTCCGCGATTTTCAAGAGTTCATTCCGACCACCTGGAAACCCCGATATCCCACCAATGGCTGATATGTACGAATGTTCTCCGTGCACCCTATACGCAAACACGATACAGAGTACGTACCATGGTATTTTCAGCCTCTAATCAGGAGTGACAGGTCGTATGTATGCGCTGGAGCCCATACCGTATCCACATGCCATGGGTTTTATTTCTTTTTTTTTTTTTTTTTTTTTTTTTTGTATTTCTTTCTAAAGCGGGAACGGCCGATCCAAAAGACGTCGGAATGATAAATACTCCTGACCTCTAGACACTTCTTACCGAAAGTTTCTGCGCCAAAACGGTCATAACTGAATAAGGGCCCACGAAACTGTGTTTGCCTGTGTTTGCCTGTGTTCACCATGGCTGACTCGGGGCTCTTAAACTTCCTACTCAAACGACAAAGTATTGTGGTACGCCATATGTTCGATCATTGTCCTTCTAATTTGGATCGGATGCTGATGGTCAATGGTTGGAATAGGATCCAAGCAATGACACCAATGTTGGTTCATCTCGGGGAAATGCATCGTCTTCCAGCTCCGACGTTGCAGATAGCCTGGGCATTGGAGGTTCAACGTCCCTCTCTGCATTCTTGACAACCTTGGTCCCTGCTCTTGTTATCGCGATCTTCTGGTTCGGTTTATTCATCATCTGTCGACGGACCCAACAGCGCTGGTATGCTCCAAGGACACATTTGCACTGCTGGCACAAACAGTGAGTTAATCCACTTCCAAATTAATTCATGATGGTCATACTGAACAATCCTGTATAGTGAGCGGAGTCCGGAGCTGCCGTCTGGCTTTTTGAACTGGTTTGGAAAGTTCCTCGAAATCACCGACACTCATGTTCTTCACCGTTCGTCGATGGATGGATATCTTTTTCTTCGCCTCCTCCGGGTACTCTGTTCCATCTGCTTCACAGGTTGTCTGATAACATGGCCCATTCTGCTTCCGATTCATGCCACAGGCGGCGGGGGGAACACCCAGCTGGACATGCTGAGCTTCAGCAATGTAACAGACCCGACACGGTATTATGCTCATGCTATCATCGGGTGCGTGTTCTTCAGTGGGTACACTCGTCTTCTGGCAACACGATTAAATAGGCTGACCACATGGGGTAGCGTATATCTTCTACGTCGTCACACGGGAGTGTTTGTTCTTTGCCAATCTCAGACAGGCGTATCTAAACTCGCCAGCTTATGTTCATCGCATCTCATCACGAACAGTGCTCTTCATGTCTGTACCCGAGGATTATCAAAACGAAAAGAAACTGCGCCAAGTTTTCGGTGACTCGGTACGACGAATCTGGATCACGTCCAATTGCAAAGAACTCGAGAAAAAAGTCAGTAAACGGGATAAGCTAGCGTATAAACTGGAAAGTGCCGAAACGAAGTACATCCGCCTAGCAAATTCGACTGGGTTAAAAATCCTCAAACATGGAGACATTGGGTCCGAGGCCTGTTTGGAATGCGGGAGGCATACACCGTCGTGGTCGTCTACCGTTCGACGTCCTACTCACCGAGTTGGGCTGCTTGGGATATTCGGGCAAAAAGTCGATTCCATCCGTTGGCTGCGAGCCGAAATGGCCAAGATCAACGAGGAGGTTAGAACTCTGCAGCACAAACACAAGACCGGGGGCGCGAAATACCTTTCCGCTACCTTTGTGGAGTTTCAGACTCAGAATGATGCACAAATCGCCCTGCAGACACTGTCGCATCACCAACCACAGCACATGACGCCACGGTTTATTGGAATCTCCCCGAAAGAGGTAGTCTGGTCTGCGCTAAATCTCAGTTGGTGGCAGCGAGTCGTACGCAAATTCGTCATCAAAGGAGGTATTGCTGCGCTGGTCGTGTTCTGGTCAATTCCGGCAGCTATTGTTGGTGCCATCTCCAATATCAGCTATCTCACGAAGATCCTCCCGTTCTTGAGCTTCATCAATGAACTACCCGATGTTATCACGGGCATCATTGCCGGGTTGCTTCCTTCAGCCGCACTAGTTCTATTGATGTCATTGGTCCCTATCATTTGTCGATGTAAGGCCCTTCTGCACGGATATCTAATGTCGGATTTCTCCTAACCAGATTCACAGTTTGCGCCAGACGCGCCGGAGTCCCATCACGAGCGGGTGTCGAGCTCTTCACACAAAGTGCTCATTTCTGCTTCCAGGTCGTCCAGGTCTTTCTGGTAACGACTCTCACATCTGCAGCATCCGCTGCTACTTCTCAAATCATCCAAGACCCCATGTCGGCCAAGGACCTTTTGGCGAAGAACCTGCCCAAAGCAACCAACTTCTACATCTCATATTTCCTTCTCCAGGGATTGACTATGAGCTCCATGGCCGTGGTGCAAGTTGCCGGGGCATTGGTGTTCAAATTAATCGCCACCTTTTTTGACCATTCGCCGAGAAATCTTTACCAGCGATGGGCTGCGGTCAGTAGCATAAGTTGGGGGAACGTCTTTCCTGTGTTTACAAACATGGGCGTTATCGGTAGGCTTCCACCTTTCATTCTTTGACGCAGGCGATGTGGCTAACAATACCAGCCTTAACATACTCCTGCATCGCCCCACTAATCCTCGGCTTCGCCTTCGTCGGCCTCTACCTCGTCTACCAAGCCTACCGCTACAACTTCCTCTTCGTCTACGACATCGACATCGACACAAAAGGCCTCGTCTATCCCCGCGCCCTCCAACACCTCATAACAGGGGTCTACCTCGCCGAAATCTGCATGATCGGCCTCTTCGCCATCCGCAGCGCCGTCGGCCCCCTAGTCATCATGATAATCTACACCATCCTCACCGTCCTCGCGCACATCTCCCTCAACGACGCCCTCACCCCAGTCACATCCTTCCTCCCCCGCACCCTCGACACGGAAGAGGAACTCCTCCAGTGCAAGGAAGAATCCGAAGCATACATATACCAAAAGCAAAGCACCCGCCTCGAAGCGATCTGGAAATGGTTCTATCCCAACTTATACCGCGACTACGCGACGCTCCGCCGGAAAGTCCGCCGTGATCTCGTTGATATCAAATGCTCTGAGGAAGAGCGGCAGAATGCATACTACGAGCCGTGCATCACGGCGAAGTGTCCGATGTTATGGCTTCCTAGGGATAAATGGGGATTCAGTCATCAGGAGGTGTTGGATACGGATGCGGGGATTCCGGTTACGGATGAGAGGGCGCATTTGGATGAGAAGAATAAGATTATTTGGGATAAGTATGATCCGAACCTGCCGTTGTGGGAGTTGAAAGTTTTGTATTGAGATTATGATTTTTTCTTGTGTGTTCTTTATGACTTGATGATGAGTATATAAATTTAATGAGAGGGATCACCCCTGGTTCTGCCTTGGATATAAATCATTTAAATGCTTTACTAGTCATCTTTACTGTATAGCGTGTGAAACAGAAGACCGTATGTTGGAATTCGCATCTTGATGGATTCAGAAAAGCTGTATATCAGGGGGTGCATATGTTTATATCTCAAGCCATGTAATGGTATATCATCATTCAATAGCTACGAGCTATACAGGTTCTAAGTACAGGGACCAGCATTTCAGGTAATTGCGGACAGCATGTTTGACCAATGTCAGGCCAATGTGAGGGTACCCAATATGTAGAAATGAACCAGGTTCTCTCCAATGTACAACATGCCGTTGCTACAAAACCAACATTATCAGCTATATATCATCGGTTAGAAGCCTATCGACCAAGATGTCTGAATTTCTCGAACATGCCGAGGATGGTCATCCCGATATATATCCTAATTCCGATATACCAATTCCTCCCCGCGCACCACTCAGATTGCATACATGAACATTGCAAAGACCCTGCATTTCTCTGGAGTAACACCAGAAATAGATTGGCCAAGAGATAATTAATTGCATTGCCGTGCTGTACCCCACAGATTCGGGGCAATGACAATGCGAGCAACAATTCGGATATCCCGAGATCGTGGGTCCGAGCTGCGAATGCGATGATGTCGAGCGTTATGGATCTCGGACCTTAATCTCCTTCAGGAGAAGCTCCAGGGACGATCATTCGGGAGGGGTTGTTTCGTCAGGATGTAAAAGACCGGTGTTGTCGACATCTCTGTCATAACCAGGCACCGTCAACATGCGATTGTCGTGGAGTTCGGTATGGCTATGGGGATGTCTGCTGGTGTCGGGTATTGCAGCAGCACAACGGTATGTGCTTTTCAATTCATTTTCAGTGTAAAGAGGGGAAATTGATGTATATACAGTGAAACCGTTGTGTATCCGCAGAAATATCAAACATCGCATCGTGCGGCAAACGCCTCGAGCTCGACCTGCATCACTTTATCGTCCTCTGATGCAGCTGCGATTCTCGACTATGGCACAGAAATCGGCGGCTTTCCAGTATTCGACGTCCAGTCAGTCTCGGGTCCAGTTCAGGTAGAAGCCAAATATTCCGAATCCAGAGTTGCTCTGGATGCACCCTTCGCCGACGGCCCCTGGACATTCTCGAATGGACTGTCCAACACCTTTCGCGTCGAGACTTTCAACATCACTGAGCCAGGACATGTCCAATCCTTTCTCACTCAAGGTGGCCTCCGTTGGCAGAGGCTGCAACTGCAGAGCCCGCAGAGCACTGTCAAGATCTGCCGCGCGGGCATCCGTTCTGCCAATGATCGAACAGCAGTCGATGCCCTTCCGGGACACTTTGAATGCTCGAACCCGCTGTACAATGAGATTTGGGCATTGGGTCCTCGAACACTGCAACAGGCCTGTATCGCAAACAACACGGCGCCGTCTACCTGGGAGGTAACATCAGACGGGGTGTACCTGCGCGGACAGCAGCCAGCTGCATCTGTCAAGGGTGCGCCCTATGCGAACTATACAATGTCCTTCCGCTCGAAGATTGTCCGCGGTGGTACGGGCTGGAAGGTTGCTTCCGGTGTGACTGGATATGGCCCATACTTTGTTCTCACGAGCGAGTATCCTCCTGGATTCACGTTCTTGAACACAAATCGCACTCTTGTCCCTCCAAACACTCTGGTTGTTGGGTACGGATATAACTTGGTCAACCAGACGACATTGACAACAGGTGCCGTTAAGCATTTCCCGCTATCGTTCAACGTGACGGAAGGCGAATGGTACAACATATCAACTACCATCAACCAAACTGGCTATTCTGTGTCCATCAATGACCACCCAGCGGTCTTTGTTGCGCTCAAGCATCTTCAAACCCCCAGTGTCAGCATCGGGGGGCCCAGTAGTCTCACCAGTGGCACATGGGCTTTTGGACCGTACCAAGACCAGATAGCATACGTCAAGGATGTCAAAGTGTCAGCGCAGAATGGAACACAGCTATACCAGAATCCAATGACCGACGAATCTGTGCTCGAAGAATATGGAGTTATGACGAACAGCGAGTCTGTCTGTCTAGACGGCGCTAAACGAGATCGTTTAGTATGGTCCGGAGACTTCACTCACACATACCGTGTCATTACAGCGAGTACACATCGTCAGGACTTCCTTGCAGGCACATTAGCCTACAGCTTAGACCGACAAGCTAAGTCCGGTGTATATGAAGGATTCTTTTCTATGTCGCCAACAATGGGCCAGTCCGCGGAGTACACTTTGATATACAACACCTTCGGGATTCTCGATTACCAAATGCTCTTCCTCAACACCTTTGCCGGCTACTATCTCGACTTCGCCGACGACACATTCCTGCAGAAATACTGGCCCCAGGCAAAGAAGGGAGTCAATGCGGTTCTGCCTCTGGTCGATAGCACCTCTGGACTCGTCGTCTCCCAGTCCATCCCGGGATCCTTCTTCCTCGGCCCCACAAATGGAACCGCACCTTCAGCTCTGCTAGTCTACACCCTCCAGCGCATGGGAAGACTCGCGCACATTATCGGAGACACCCAGACAGCCACAAATTGGACCACCACAGCAACCCACGTCTCCAACGCCATCAACTGCCAGCTCTGGAACGACAAAACAGGAACCTACGGCGAAAGTCTAACCTCCCTCAACGCATCCTCCATAACCGGCACCGCATGGGCAATCCTTGCAGACGTAGCAAACACTACCCAAGCTCAGCGATCCATCGCAGCACTCTCCTCTCTCCGTTTGGGCATCGGCTACAAAGAATCCTCCTCGACCTCGAACACACCCAACACACAATTATCCCCCAACCTCTCAGGCTTCCTCCTCGAAGCGCTCTTCCAGCACAGCCGCTCCAGCACAGCCCCGCAAAACACAACCACAGAAGCCATCAGCGTCCTCCTAAACCGCCTCTGGCCCGCAATGGTTAACCAGGATAAATACTACACAGGCACGGCATGGGAATACCTCGACACTGTCGGCCGCCCGGGATTAGACTTCTACACATCCCACGCTCATCCCTGGGGCGCAGCACCTACATACGTTTTCACGGAATACGTCCTTGGTATCCAGTCTGTGACGCCTGGGTTTAGGGAGTGGGCGTTCAGACCTGCGTTGCTTGATGTTGGGGTTTCTTGGGCTGGAGGGAGAGTTCCGACGCCGTTTGGGGCGATTCGGGGGGATTGGACGGTTGATTGGGCGAGGAGGTATTTGGAGATTAATGTTTGTACGCCGAGGGGGGCGAAGGGGACGGTTGGGTTGCCGTTGAGTGTGGAGTCGTATACGGTTAATGGGGAGGAGAGGGGTGTTGAGGGGGTAGGGTTGGAGGAGAAGGTTGGTGGGGGAGAGTGTGCGAATATTTCTGTTGTGTTGAAGTGGGTTTCTACCGCTCATGATCTAAAAACATAAATGCAACAAAATGCAATCTATATACAAGTACATAACAAGTCATCAATCCGTGAACTCCAACACCTCTGCATCCGGATTCTCAAAAACGCTCTCCCAATGCCTCTTAACCCCCTCACACAACCCCTCCTTATCCCTCCACGACTCAAACACCCCCTCCAACACACAAGCCACCTCCCTAACCTCCTCCCAAAACCCCCTCTCCGCATCAAACCCAATCCTCCTCAACGCCCTCTTCGGCCCCGTATAAACCCTCGTCGCATTCCCATCCCTGTCATGCGTCTTCTCACCCAACAAGTCCACCCCAGGATTAAACTCCGGATTATACGCATGTACAAAAAACCCCCGTGGAGGCTCGGCCACAGACCCATCCTTCACCCTCCACTTCCCACGGCTAGTAAGTTCATAATCCTCAACCGGATCGGCCTGCAGCATCGCCGAACCGACTATATCATCATCTGCATATTCGTCGTTGGGATGATGCGGACGACCGAGGTCTGCTACTGGTTCGCTGACTGTGTGGAATGGGTTGCCGAGGGCGCTGGCGGCTGGGAGGAAGGTGTCTTTGTCGCCTTCGCCGGGGGCGCCTTGGCTGAGGAGGGTGTAGTAGTGGGAGGGGCCGTGGTAGTTGTAGTATGTTGCCAGGAGGAGAGTTGGGAAATGGGTTCTCTTGGAGACGAGTAGCATGCCTGCTTCTGTTGAGGCGCGGGCATTTGTTGGGAAGTCTGGTTGTTGGGAGATATTGAAGTATGTCGGGGAGATTGTGGAGGCCCAGAAGTCGGGCCAGGTGAGGAGGCCTTTTGATGTGAAGGGCTTGGAGGATAGGAGGGGTGTTGGGTCGTGGAGGGGGAGGTTATCTGCGTCTAGCCAGATTGTGCTGTCGAAGGAGGAGAAGAGGAGGGCGAAGGATTTGATTTGGAAGTGTTCGATTGTGGCTGTTGTGTTGCTTGTGGGATCGGGGTTTAGGGTCATGATTTCTGAGAGGATGATGCATTTTGCATTGAGGGCTGGGAGGACGGTTTCGCAGATATATGGCTCGTACTCGGTTGAGTCTTTGACGAAGAGCTCTACTGGTAATTGGCAACCAGTCCGTCGGAGTATACGTAAAGTGATCACGAATGTGGGCATGTATGTCCCCCCAGCAGCAGAAACGATACCTTGTGTCGCAACGATATAAGGATGACCAGTCCAGGACTTCCGAATCTCCTTCACAAACCCATCATGTGCCGTCTGCATAGGCTGCAACAGCTCATCGGTATTATCGATGTAATTCTTTCGCGGGGGGTCATCAAGCGCATCGAATCGCGGCATTCCGGCCGAGCGACCTAACTCCGGAGAAGGACATTGCGGTGCGTATTTCTCGAGTAGAGAGTAGAGCTCATGTCGGAGTTGCGCTTGGCGATCCGGGAGTGTTGCAAGCGTTATAGGGCTGAAATCACGCTTTCCGAGGTATAGATGGTAGAAGTTAATCAAAGTGATAACAACCAGTACAGTCACGAAGACTTTTCCATTCAAATTTTGTATCTGCATCCCGGTGGTCCATTTTCACATTGTCGAAAAATCAACATCGTCGCGAAGAAATTCTCACCATAATAAAAATTTATAAGAAAAAGCAAAATAAGGCAAACAAAATCCGAAATGACAGCCGCGTCATACTCCCGATTACGCCAGAACTAAGCCTTATCTTATGGGGGCCGTCAAGGCTATAATGGGGCCAAATAACCCGCTGCTGCCAATCGGAGTCCCACCTACTGGTAGCAGCGTTCGTCATCTCGCTATATCAGTCTTAGCTTCTGTGTTAGTGCTCCGGTCTTTGTTCGGTAGATTTGTAGGAAATGCCGGTCCACGTTGCTTTCGTTGTCCTGTTGTCCTCTCGTGTTTCGGATTCACGGGACAAAGAATAATCGCAGATCAGTTCGTGATAGAAACAATTCATTGGTTTTATGAGGCTCCTGTAGACTAATTGAGATGTTCAAGGACTTCACAGGCATCGATTTATCGAGGCGGAATTCCTTCGGAATTTACTGCAAACTCTGAGCCCGGTGGTTTGTGCATTTAGCCATGTTTATTCATGTTCCTAAATGAGCATAACTATAACCTCGGCCTTTCCATGGATGTATTTTCGAGCTTTCATCGTGATATATCGGCATTGGCTCCTCTGCTGGTAGAACCATGGTCAATGGATTGATGCGGTTCCCGGCCAATAGTTCAAGGATATTAATGCTCTCGGCTAGACGTCAGAAAATGATAAAACAGGCACGGTTCTTCGCGAGCTGTTGCGGTTGCTTTATGCTGAGTAACTTAATCTCATCCAAGATGTTGTTGGTCGAGATGATGCGGGATCGAAATGTTGGAAATGGGTGAAAAGCTTTTCATTCACCTCAAGTGAGAGGCACAGCTAATATCATAAAATAAAGCTAGCATTCACTCAGTCAAGTCTAACGGAGGAGCAACGTCCCTCCCTCCATCCTCGTCATCCTGTCTGCCTGTCTGCCTGTCTGCCTGGTGGACAGAAATCGCCCTCTTCTCAAAGATCAGTTCTCAAGTCCCATATGAGCTGTCGATAGGCGTGGTTCCAACAAATGTGTCGTCACCAGAGCCTATGATCTAGCTATGGCAGCGAGATTCTCAGAATCAGAGTACAGCAGGATACTTGACGATGCCACTGAGTGCGCACACATGATACCATCCACAATAGCACCATGTGCTGACAACGAAATTGGTCATGATGATGCATGTCCCTTTTGCACTATGCTAGCGCTAGAACTAATCAGGACCCTGGTATGTATGACAGCTAAAGTGAAGACGTGGACCTATATTTACCGATACTTCTCAGGCATACATAAGCTACTCGGCCTGCTATGTCTGGGGTCTATGGATGACCCCGGGAACGCAATGACTAGTCCCGTAAAGACACGGGGAATTTGGTCACTTTCATATGAGGTTAGTCAACATAGGGGTAAGATGCTTCGTTTGCTTATTTAGCATGCCTGACGTTCATAGGTAAAACGAATATCAAATCAGAGCATTGAACGGCTTTGCAAGACACCGGGGGATTATGCCTCCTGGCCGTCAGATCGTGCTGACGACAAAACAAAGCACTGCGCCTACCCATCCGGCTCTACTAGAAGTGCACAGTACATACCAAACGTGGGCCTCAGTGGCCGTTTCTCTTGTGTGGAAGCTGGGCGATTGGGAGAACGCATGTGGGGACTTTAAAAGCTCCATGGATGACTGTGTCCTCAATATATACTGTCGGCTGTCCTACTAATAACGCCCACCGTTGTTCATCTACAAGCTTCCATACTTAACATCGATATAAGTGCTCCGCAGAATAGGGAGATCTCAAGAATTGGTCATCCCGATGACGCCGAAACAGCTCCTTGACAATTATGAAAGAGAAGAACATCCCAAGCCCTCAATGACATCTTTGAAGACAATCCAGAAGCAAGCAGTGGACCAATTTCGTATGTCTGCCCCTATCGGAAGGATCGATAGCTTGACCCCCATTATATGGGCTTTTCTTGCTTCGACAAGTGCCAATAGTCTTAACAGGACGATTGCCCTTTTAATACCATGTTCACCGCATTTCAATTATTGTATACCTTCTCGAAACGAGCTTCACCTGGGTACCCTGATTATACAGACAGCTACATGCTGCCGAGTTGGAGACATCCTCCATTCCCGTGAATGACAGGGCCAACAGTACAGTACCTGGCCTGGTCAGTCGTTGACATGTGAGTTACACATCCATTGCATTTTATATCGCTATACTGATTATTTCTATGGCTTCAGAACCCAAGAATGTCGGGCTGTTACTGCATTTCCAATAACTTGGCTTATGCAATGGCCGTCCATAAATCCCAAGGGATTACGAAGAACTCCTGCGATATTACCACGGATCGCTAGCAAAAGCTTCCATCGTGTATATTTTGGCTTCGCCTTTCGGTCGACGTATTGGGTTGGTCTTCTGCAATGCGCGGATATAGCAGCTGCAGGGCTGGACATTCATATCCTCCCCGCTGTTTGGCGTTCTTAATATCCCAGGACGTTAGCTAACCCTGGCAAATGTGACAGGTTTTATTTCTAGAACCGACATGTCTTGAAAAGGACCTTTCTGTCGCTATTGGACAGCCTCAATCACATATTTGAGGGGCTCAAAGGAAGACTTGCAGCAAGAGTACATGCGGGATTCTAGCAGTGCACGACACTACGGAACACTGGGACCGTGACCTAAAGAAGATAAGGAGTGCGCAGTTTACGTGTGGCGGCCAGGAGATTTCGTTTTCCACTTCGAAATTCGGGGACATAGGAGGTTCCGGACCACACTCCTAGACGCGTGAGTTGGGGCCGCTGGCCCTAAGCAACATAATCCGGGAGTATTTGCTGACATACTTCTATAGAGTCGATACTAACCGCTCACTATTGCAAAACATACAAAATGCAACTGTCAACGCCCAAATGAGATGGCCATCCTAGTCATACTGCATTCCTACATACCGTTGCCTCGCTTCTACTTACTATAAGCGGGCGTGCTTGACAGAAGGCAGACCTTGCACGAGTGCTGTCCTGGCCTAGTTGGAGTTACTTCTATGCGCTATGAGCACCAGTTAGTGGGACTAAAATATTCCAATCGACTACAGATTAACGATATGCACCGTCAACACCGGCATATCCCAAATTACGAAGAACTAAGTGATTCACATGACGATACATTGTTCCCATTGACTAAGTCAGAGGCTTAGGGCCTCGCTCATTAAAGAAAGATGTAGACGAGGCAATCGACGAGATGTCCGAGAATCAAGTTAAAAGACCAAAGGGCAACAACCGCCTGATGGCTTGCCTGCTTTGAAGATTTCATGGGGCGCCTTTATTCAATCAGTGGAGTGAGTCCATGCCGACTACATTTGCCTTCCTGTGATGGGTCTACATGGCCGGACCAAATAGTAAAGTTTTGGTCGTTTCGCATAGAATTCAACGATTGGGCAATTTCTCCGTCTTCATGATCTGATCGCCTGAGTTTGCCAAAAAGACAGAAACTCAAACCAATGATCATTCGAATTGATGTTTCATTAAAGCGAACCATAACAATAGCCGTGAACAAAGTCGCTTAATGAACTTATCACAAGCCCCACGTCCCAAGTGCAGGAAGAATCCCTTGAGCTAACGGCTGTTTTCTATATTGGTAAGGCACGCGAGCCCTTTAACCGTTATACGAAAATCCTCAACCCTGAGGTGAAGTTCCTATCCTTACGACGTGCCCTGTGTCAAGACCAAACGACCAAGTGCGTTGGATCGGGACACTTCTTGTTTCAAAGAAGACGCTCATGGCTCAGATCCCAGTCTGTTTGTGGTCGTGCCTGTCATATTATGGTACGGCTTTTGTATAATGACTTCCGGTGAACTAGCGGTACAAGAAGCCCATCATACGCTAATGTGTCTTGGGCTTTGGGTGAGATATTACAGGTAGTCTGAAGGATATCTGACACTTAACGACTACATACCCTATCTAAAATTAGTCCTGGGGAATTTATCTATGGAAAAAGGGCGCGGGAGATGTTACAGGTGGGCATGTTCGCTTTATTCGCAAATGCGTCTCGGGGAACTCGACCAAATGATAATCCTAGCCTAGTACAACTCAACAAGCGACATAGACCTAGTGCTTAACAAAAAGCAGCATATTAAGAGCACTATAACTGAGAATTGAAAAAGTGTAATCGCTGGTATCTATATACGTAACTCATGTCATCGTGAAAACGCAAGCAACCAACGCCAACCCAATCAACAAAGTAGAAACAGTCAATCATAGAACGCCGCAACCATCCGAGAATATCCATTTCAATTCCTACCCAATACTACCACGCACTCACATAACGATGCAGTCCTTGTTCTTATCCTTGGGTCGCTCAGGGAGTCCCGAAGATGTCGCAGGTGGCCGCCGTCCATGTCCATGATGGCTTCTCGAGAAGCGACTATCCATAGACGGGTTAGACGGGTTAGACGGGTTAGACGGGTTAACAGACGGCGTGCTCTGCTGCGGGGAATAGACAGGGCTGCGAGCTGCTTGTGCATATGAAGGTAAATCATCGCCCTCGCGAGAATGTGACGACCGTCCATGCTGTTGGCTCGACCGTGCTGACCGTTGCTCTGCAGGTTGGTATCGACCATTGCCTCGATTCACAGCGCTGGACGTACGGTGATGGGTGGCTTCAGGTCCATGTCCTCGTGTGGGTTGATTGGGTGCAGAGGCATTTCGATTGTGGCCCGCAGAGTTCTGACGTTGCTGTTCTTCCTCTTGGAACTGCAACGCCAGCGCATAGGCATAATCCGCATCGGCCTGTTCTTGCGATGGCTCATCCTTCGATCCAGTGGAATGGCCTGCGTCACGGCTCGGAAGCGCCGGGGCAGATGTCGCAGGAGCTCCTGATGGGCCATGGCCAACGGGACGGAAGTCGCCAGAGAAGAATTCAGCGCGAGAGCCATTAACATCCACGAGATTCTCCCACACAATCTCAGCGTGGCTTGCATAGCCAGC